CACCACTACAACAACTACTACCATCACCACCACCACCACTACTACCACCATCACCACTTACCACCACTACAACAACTACCACCACCACCACCACCACTACAACAACTACCATCACCACCACCACTACAACAACTACTACCATCACCACCACCACTACAACAACTACTACCATCACCACCCCACCACTACAACAACTACCATCACCACCAACCACAACAACTACTACCATCACCACCACCACTACAACAACTACCACCATCACCACCACCACTACAGCAACTACCATCACCACCACCACTACAACAACTACCACCACCACCACTACCACTACAACAACTACCATCACCACCACCACTACAACAACTACCACCACCACCACTACCACTACCACTACAACAACTACCACCACCAACACTACCACTACAACAACTACCATCACCACCACCACTACAACTACCACCACTACCACTACAACAACTACCATCACCACCACCACCACAACAACTACCACCACCACCACCACCACTACCACTTACCACCACCAAACCACCACCACTACAACAACTACCACCACCACCACACACCACCACCACTAAAATAACTACCACCACTACCACTACCACTAAACAACTACCATCACCACCACCACTACCACTACCACTACCACTACAACAACTACCACCACCACCACTACTAACAACAACTACCATCACCACCACCACCACCACTACAACAACTACCACCACCACACCACTACCAATTATAACAACTACCACCACCACCACCACTACCACTACCACTCACAACAACTACCACCACCACCACTACCACTACAACAACTACCATCACCACCACCACTACAACAACTACCACCACCACCACTACCACTACAACAACTACCACTCACCACCACTACAACAACTACCACCACCACCACACCACCACTACCACTACCACACCACCACCACCACTACAACAACTACCACACCACCACCACCACCTATTACAACAACTACCACCACCACCACTACCACTACCACCACCACCACCACCACCACTACAACAACTACCACCACCACCACCACTACAACTACTACCACCACCACCACCACTACAACAACTACTACCACCACCACCACCACCACCACCACCACTACAACAACTACTACCACCACCACCACCACCACCACCACCACCACAACACTACCACCACCACCACCACCACTACAACTACTACCAACCGCCACCACCACCACCACCACCACCACCACCACCACCACCACCACCACCACCACTACAACAACTACTACCACTCACCACCACCACCACCACCACCACCACTACAAATAACTACTACCACCACCACCACCACCACCACCAATAATTACAACAACTACTACCACCGCCACCACCACCACCACCACACTACACTGCCACACCACCACCACCACAACAAACTACCACCACCACCACCACCACACCACCACCACTACAACAACCACTACCACCACCGCCACCGCCACCACCACCACCACCACTACAACAACTACTACCACCACCACCACCATCACCACCACCACTACAACAACTACTACCACGCTCCACCACCACCACACCGCCACCACCACCACCGCCACCACCACCACCCACACCGCCACTGCCACCACCACCACTACAACAACCACTACCACCACCACCACCACCACCACCATACTACAACAACTACTACCACCGCCACCACACCACCACCACCACCACCGCCACCACCATCACCACCCCACCACTACAACAACTACTACCACCGCCACACCACCACCACCACCACCGCCACCACCACCACCACTACAACAACTACTACCACCGCCACACCACCACCACCACCACCACCACCGCCACCACCACCACCACCACCACACACCACCACACCACCACACCGCCACCACCACACCACCACCGCCACACCACCACCACTACAAAAACCACTACCACCACCACCACCATCACCACCACACACAACAACTACTACCACCGCCGCCACCACCACCACCACCACCGCCACCACCACACCACCACCACCGCCACCACCACCACCACCACCACCACCCACCACAACAACTACTACCACCGCCGCCACCACCACCACCACCACCGCCACCACCACCACCACCACCACCACCACCACCACCCTACCACCACCACTACCAACCAACATTTAACACGTCAGGGTGATGGTGGTAACAACAACACAACATCCTTATTGGAATCGAGCCCCACCTTCCACCATCCATCATCACTCCACACCAACTCTCTAAGCACACACACACACATTCCCCAATCCCCCGCCCCATCAACCCTCCCCACCCCATCAACCCTCCCACCCCATCAACCCTCCCCACCCCATCAACCCCACCCATCAACCTCCCCAGCCCATCAACCTCCCCAGCCCATCAACCCACCATCAACCCTCCCCCCCCATCCACCCTCCCCACCCCATCAACCACCATCAATCCCTCCCCACCCCATCAACCTCCTCCCACCCCATCAACCCACCATCAACCCCTCCCACCCCATCCACCTCCCCACCCCATCAACTCCCCAGCCCATCAACCTCCCCAGCCCATCCACCCTCCACCCCATCAACCCTCCCCACCCCATCAACCCACCATACCACACTTCAATCGCTCCTTCAAGTCCCATCATGACAGAGAGGCGTTAACGTCAATATCTATCATGTTTGAGGGGGGGTGAGGGGATGGAGGGAAGGAGGAGAGGAAGGAGGAGGGAAGGAGGAGAGGGATGAAGGAGAGGGAAGGAGGAGAGGAAGGGAGAAAAGAGAGGAATATGTTGAGAGAATATAATCGAAACCCCTCCTCCCCCCACTCACCCTCTCCTCCCACTCACCTCCTCCTCCCACTCAACCCCCTCCTCCCACCAACCTCCTCCCCACTCACCCTCCCCCACTCCTCTCACCCCCCACTCAGGGCAGGTAATAACAAGAGCCAACACAAAAATATTTCCTGTACCATTTTTTTTTAGTTGGAAAAAAAATTAAAAGGTCAAGTTTTTATTTATTATTGAATTGTTATGTTTATTTGTTAGATAGATCGGTGGATAGATGGGTGATAGGTGGATGGATAGATGGGTGGATGGATTCCTTCTCTCCCTCCTCCTCCCCCTTCCTATCTCCTCAGGTAAATCCCCACAATCCCCCTGGCTGCCTCGTTATAAATCCCCTAAGCTCGTAGAGCTGACTGCCGAGAGCCCCCACCTACCACCCCCACCTACATACCAAGATGGCCGCCAAATTATACCAAGACTGTACCTAACTTTATCACACACACACGTACACACACACGTACACACACATACACACGTGACAGGAATATGACCGTGTTTACGAGGCATAACTCAGATACCTTTGTCGACACTAGCCGCTGGATGATGGATAGATGGATAGACGGGTGGGTGGGTGGGTGGGTGGGTGGGTGGGTGGGTGGGTGGGTGGGTGGGTGGGTGGCAACAGGACAGATGTGGAAAGACGGATGGATAGATGGATAGACTAAAACAAAATTACTGGAGACAATTACAGTAAATACATATAATTCTCTCTCTCTCTCTCTCTCATTATTCTCCTCCTCTCCCAATCCCTCCCCTTATGCCACACACCACCAGCCTCCCCCTATAATGCAGGGGGAGGAAGGGAGGAGGGGAGATGCAACTGATAAAGAGGGGGTAGTGGGGTGATTGAAGGTGGGGGGTGATTGAGGGGTGAGGGGGTTTTGAGGGGTGGGGGGTGATTGAGGGGTGGGGGTGATTGAGGTGGGGAAGGTGACTCACGCCCTATGTATCGACGGGAGGATCACGCCAGTGTGTGTATATTACCTGTGTGAGTCAACGGCAGGTGAGTCATTACCGTCCGTTGTTAGGGTTAGGTTAGATGGGTTAGGGGCTAGAGTTGTTAGGCTGGGCTAGTTGCCAGGCTGGGCTGGGTTAGGTTGAGGTTAGGCAGGCTACAACAGAACTCTCTCTTCCTTCCTTCCCTTCCCTCCTTCCTCTCTCTACCTCTCCCTCCTCCCACTTCACATTAAAGCCTCCTTCCTCTTTCCTCCCATTCACGCCCCCACCTCCTCACCCCCTCTCACCCCTCACCCCAGGGACCAACACACGGGCAGAACAGCCACATGAGAGGAACTTCCCAAGATGAAAAGAAGATCATGGGAGGGGGAGGGGAGGGGGAGGGGGAGGGAGGGGGGAGTGGGGGGGAGGGGGAGGGGAGGGGAGGGGGAGGGGAGGGGAGGGGGGGGGGGGAGGGGGGGTGGGGAGGGGGGAGGGGGGGGGAGGGAGGGGGAGGGAGGGGGGAGGTGGGAGGGGAGGGGAGGGGGGAGTGTGGGAGGGGGGGAGGTGGGAGGGGAGTGTGGGAGGGGAGGGGAGGGAGAGAGAGAGAGGGAGATTACTGGTGAGCATAATGAAAGAGGAAGAGGAGAGGCTAGCTAAAAGATGACATAATGGAGAGGGGAGAGAGGAGGGAGAGAGAGGAGAGAGGGGTGGAGAGAGGGAGAGGGGAGAGAGGGGAGAAAGAGGAAACAAGGCGGAAGGAAAGAGGAGATGGCGAGAGAGAGAGAGAGAGAGAGAGAGAGAGAGAGAGAGAGAGAGAGAGAGAGAGAGGAGAGAGAGGTACAAAATCTATTTTACTAAAACAGGTAGACTTTTTCATCTTGGGTGCAGGAGCAGTGTGTGGGGTGGGATGTGGGTGTGTGTGGGGTGGTGGGAGGGTGGGTGGGGTGGGGTAGGGTGGGTGGGGTGGGCAGGGTGGGGTAAGGGAGGGGTGGGGTGGGGTGGGGTGTGTGTGGGGTTGTGGGTGGCGGTTGGTGGTGGGTGGCGGGGTGGGGTTGGTGGGTGGTGGCGGTGGTGGGTGGGAGGTGGATGGGTGGCTGGGTGGCTACTGGCAGTCTAGGTGGTGTGGTTGAGAATACTGGGTGGGTGTGGGTGTGTGGGTGGGTATGAGGTTTATTAAGGCATCCCTTAGTCGACCACATGTTCAAAGGCCCGGGAGCATACGTGTGGAAACCACGCTAATGTCAGCCCCTCCACGCTCCTCCACGCTCTCCCCATGCCCCCATGCTCCACACCCCCACGCCCCATGCTCCACACTCCCCACGCCCCTCCATGCCCACACTCCCCCACGCCCCTCCATGCTCCACACTCCCCACGCCCCTCCATGCTCCACACTCCCCACGCCCCTCCATGCTCTACACTCTCCCACGCCCCTCCATGCCCACACTCCCCACCTCCCATGCTCCACACCCCCCACGCCCTCTATGCTCCACACCCCCCACGCCCCTCCATGCTCCACACTCCCCCACGCCCCTCCATGCCCACACTCCCCCACGCCCTCCATGCCCACACTCCCCACGCCATGCTCCACACTCCCCATGCCCATGCTCCACACTCCCCCGCCCCTCCATGCTCCACACCCCCCACGCCCCTCCATGCTCCAACCCCCACGCCCTCCATGCTCCACACCCCCACGCCTCCATGTCCACACCCCCACGCCCCTCCATGCTCCACACTCCCTCCACGCCCCTCCATGCTCCACACTCCCACGCCCCTCCATGCTCCACACCCCCACGCCCTCCATGCCCACATCCCCTCCATGCTACACACCCCCACGCCCCTCCATGCTCCACACCTCCACGCCCCTCCATGCTCCACATACGCCCCTATATATCCTTCCTCCATCTTTTCCTCAATATGCTCCTATGCTCTTTTACTCCCAATACTTTTAATTCATTTATCTATGCTCCTTCCTCTCCCTTCCTCCCTCTCCCTCCCTCCCTCCTCACCCCTCTCCACCCCACTCACTCTTAAACTGCTCGCCTGGTAGAACTCTCCATCTGTTTAAATATCCCATTCTTCTTTCCTCACCTCCCCACTCCTCCCTCTCTCCTCACTCTCCTCCCCTCTCACTCTCTCTTATTGCTTCACCTTCCTTCCCTCCTCACATCTCTCTTCCCACTTCCTCCCTCAGTTTCTCCTTTCCTCTCTCCTTTCCTACTCTCTTCCTTCCAACTTCTCCCTCTCACTCTCTCTCTTACCTAGTTGGAAGGAAATTTAAACTAGTCTCCTGAAAAATGGATGCGGAGAGGCGAGTGGGGAGGGGAGGGGAGGGGGGGGAGGAGAGATGGGGAGGGAGGAGAAGAGGAGGGGGGGGGAGGAGAGATGGGGAGGGGAGGGGAGGAAGAGTGAGGAGGGGAGGGGGAAGTGAAGACTGGAGGAAGGAAGGGGGAGAGGCAACTGGGGAGAAAGATTGGGGAGGAGAGGGGAGATGGGGAGAATGTAGGTCAAAGATGAAGTGTTTGTTTGTCTGTTTGTTTGTTTGTTTGTTATCTCGAGTGCTATTTCGAGTCCTAGTCCTCAAATAGCAACTAATTCAAGCTAATCCTAGACCTAAGCTCACTATCCTAGCACCCAGCACCTAGCACCTAGCACCCAGCACCCAGCACTAGCACCCAGCCGGTCGATACAGTGGTCTCACGAGGTTAGGCAAGTGTGTGTGTGTGTGTGTGTGTGTGTGTGTGTGTGTGTGTGTGTGTGTGTGTGTGTGTGTGTGTGTACATCTCTCTCTCAACAAAGTGAGCTAAAAAAGCCAGTCATCCAGCCTGAAGCCACATTAAGCCACTTGGAGCTTATATACGCCAAAGACAGCCATATACGCTAACAGCCATACCAGAAAGCCATATACGCTAACAACAAGCCTCGGAAAAGCCATTGTATCCCCCACAAAGCCACGCACGTCAGCCAGAAAGCCATTGTATCCCCCACAAAGCCACGTACGTCAGCCAGAAAGCCATTGTATCCCCACAAAGCCACGTACGTCAGCCAGAAAGCCATTGTATCCCCACAAAGCCACGTACATCGATAGCATTGATCCCCACAAAGCCACGACATCAGCCAGAAAGCTATTACGCCCACAGCCACGCACGTCAGCCAGAAAGCCATTGTATCCCCACAAGCCACGTACATCAGCCAGAAAGCCATTGTACGCCCCACAAAGCCACGCACGTCAGCCAGAAAGCCATTGTACGCCCCACAAAGCCACGTACATCAGCCAGAAAGCCATTGTACGCCCCACAAAGCCACGTACATCAGCCAGAAAGCCATGTACACCGAGGGAAAGCCATAATACGCCAGCCAGCAAGCCATAAGCCATAACTCCGGTTCATTACACAGCCAACTATTCATCCTTGCTATCATTCCAAGTCTGCATTTTGACGGGCCGCCGGGAATGTCTCCAGGAATGGGAATGTTACCGGTATTCTCGGGAATGGTCTTGGAATTTGTGAGGTTAGGGAAGAGGAGGAGGAGGAAGAGGAGGAGGAGGAGGAGGAGGAGGAGGGTGAAGGGGAGGAGGTTTACGTAGGAGAGGGAGGAGGAGGAATTGAATGAAGAAAGGAGGGAAGGAAGGGAGGAGGGAAGGAAGGAAGGAAGGGAAGGGAAGGAAGGAAGGAAGGAAGGAAGGAAGGAAGGAAGGAAGGAAGGAAGGAGGGAGGGAGGGAAGGAAGAAGGAGGGAAGGAGGGAAGGAGGGAAGGAAGGAAGGAAGGGAAGGAGGGAGGGAAGGAAGGAAGGAAGGAAGGAAGGAAGAAGGAAGGAAGGAAGGAAGAAGGAAGGAAGGAAGGAAGGAGGAAGGAAGGAGGAAGGAGGGAAGGAAGGAAGGAAGGAAGGAAGGAGGGAAGGAGGAGGAAGGAGGAGGGAAGGAGGGGAGGGAAGGAGGAAGGAAGGAAGGAAGGAAGGAAGGAAGAAAACATACAAATAAAAGAATATTATGACCTCCACATAGGTAGTAGACTACTCATGCTTTGAGGACAGACAGGTGAGACAGAGGCCGGCAGGTAGACGGTCAGACCACTTCGACAGATCACTGTAAACAACAAATAAATTACCGTCAATAACAAAAACAAACAATAACAACAAATAACAATCAATAACAACAAACAACAACAACTGTTGGTGGGAGGCGAGGCAACACACTTGCCAGCCACACCTGTACCCAGACAGGTGTGGGTGGGGGGAGGAACAGACCTCATCACACACCTGTCAACATAAAGTGTTTGGTGATGATTTATTGTACACACACACACACACACACACACACACACACACACAGTTGATAATCCGCTACCTCCTCCTCTTCCTCCTCCCTATTCCTCCTCCTCCTCCCTCCTTCCTTCATCTTCCTCCTTCTTCCTCCTCTTCTTCCTTCCTCTCCTCCTTTCTTCCTCCTCCTCCTCCTCCTCCTCCTCCTCCTCCTCCTCCTCCTTCCTTCCTCCCTCCTCCTCCTCCCCCTCCTCCTCTCCTCCTCCTCCTCTTCCTCCTCCTCCTTCCATAATAAACTAAGGTAATATTTTATGTATATTACAGGTACAATTTCTTTGATATTTACACAGGTAATTTTTCCTGTAAGATCTGGGGGAGGGGGGAGTGGGGAGTGGGGGAGTGGGGGAGTGGGGGGAGTGGGGGAGTGGGGAGGGGGGGGGGGGGGGGAGTGGGGGGGGGGTGGGGGAGGGTGGGGAGGGGGGGAGGGGGAGGGGAGGGGGGGAGGGGGGGGGGGGGGGGGGAGGGGGAGTGGGGGGGGGGAGGGGGGAGGGAGGGAGGGGGGGAGTGGGGAGGGGGGGAGGGGGGGAGCCGATGTTGTTTCTCGTTTCTGTCTACTCAGTAATTTTTGTTTCAAGTGAGAGAGAGAGGCTTCTAACACACACCAACAACGACCATTATCATCAGCCTCCAGGAGAATTGGACAAAGAAGATGCTATCCCACCTCTAATGTAAACCCTCTAAGAATATCGCCCTATGGCCCTTAACGAGAACTAGGATTGTGAGGAGAGGGCAAAAACGTGCTAAGCCCCTCCAGTACCCATCCATACCTCATTAGAGTTGAAAATCCTATCTGTTTTAATAATCAGATAGTACGTATGTGTGGGGTGGATGGTAAGAATATGTTATCCCACTATTAAGTCTCTGCCTCTGGGGTACTAGTCTTAAGGGCGAGTATTAAAAGATAACATCCTAGTTCTTATTCTTGTCAGCTATTAACTATTCCTCTTGCTAGTAGTACCTCTCCCTCCTCCTCCTCACCCCCCATTGTTTACCACCAAAGGAGACGCTCTTGTAAACAAAGCCACGTGACAAATTTGGATAATGGCTCAGACAGTAATGAGTGAGCTTTTATACAGTGTGTGTGTGTGTGTGTGTGTGTGTGTGTGTGTGTGGCACTACTTACAGCAACACCCAACAACAATGTCACTCTTCACCCTCCCTCTCACCCCTCCCTCTCGCCCCACACTACGCATGAGAGGGAACGTGTCCTAACGTTTAAACAGATGTCATGAACACTGGTAACACACAACACGACAAAAGGTTCATAACCCTGGCCCCCATACATGGGCCAGGAGGCTTGTGGCTAGAAGGGCTTGTAAGGGCTAGAGGGAGGGCTTGTAAGGGCTAGAAAGGCTTGTAAGGGCTAGAGGGAGGGCTTGTAAGGGCTGGAAAGGCTTGTAAGGGCCAGGAAAGGGCTTGTGAGGACGCCCCTGTCATGAGATATAACCTGACGTGTTTAACCCCTTGAGGACGATGATTTAACCCCTTGAGGACGATGGTTATTTAACCCCTTGAGGACGATGATTTAACCCTTGAGGACGATGATTTAACCCCTTGAGGACGATGATTTAACCCTTGAGGACGATGATTAACCGCTTGAGGACGATGATTTAACCCTTGAGACGATGATTTAACCCCTGAGGACGATGGTTTAACCCTTGAGGACGATGGTTTAACCTTGAGGACGATGATTTAACCCTTGAGGACGATGATTTAACCCCTTGAGGACGATGATTTAACCCTTGAGGACGATGATTTAACCCTTGAGGACGATGGTTTAACCCTGAGGACGATGATTTAACTCCTTGAGGACGATGATTTAACCCCTTGGACGATGATTTAACCCTTGGGGACGATGATTTAACCCTTGGGGACGATGATTAAACCCTTAGACGATGATTTAACCCTTGGGGACGATGATTTAACCCTTGGGGACGATGATTTAACCCCTTGAGGACGATGATTTAACCCCTTGAGTACGATGATTTAACCCCTGGGGACGATGATTCAACCCCTGAGGACGATGATTTAACCCCTTGAGGACGATGATTTAACCCTTTGGGGACGATGATTAACCCCTTGAGGACGATGATTTAACCCTTGGGGACGATGATTCAACCCCTTGAGGACGATGATTTAACCCCTTGAGGACGATGATTTAACCCCTGAAGACGATGATTTAACCCCTTGGGGACGAATGATTTAACCCTTGAGGACGATGATTTAACCCCTTTGAGGACGATGATTTAACCCCTTGGGGACGATGATTTAACCCTTGAGGACGATGATTTAACCCTTGAGGACGATGATTTAACCCTTGGGGACGATGATTTAACCCCATGAGTATAAACCACTTTTGTCTTAAATAAAGCTGAATTTGGTTAGGTTAGGTTTTCTTAACATGTGGACTTGTGTGTGTGTGTGTGTGTGTGTGTGTGTGTGTGTGTGTGTGTGTGTGTGTGTGGTGGCTGGCTAAGTGAGTAGAAGTGTGTATGTAACTTGCTTATTTGTCAGCTCCTCCCTCCCTTCCCCCAACCTCTTCTCCCCTTCCTCCCTCCTCTTCTCTGTTCCTTTCAACTTTCTTTTTCCTTTATTCATCCTCCCTTCCTCTCTACCCCCCTTTCCTTCTTTTCTCCCTTTCCCTCCTTCCTTCCTTCTCTTCTCGCTTCCTCTCCATACCTTCCTTCCTCCTTCATCACCCTCGACAACAAATTACCAGTGACAGGTAACCTCCCCCCTCCCTCCTCCCTCCCTACCCCCACCTCCCTCTCCCTCCTCCACCTACCTCCCTCACCCCCTCCCCCTCCTTCCAGACAAACAGTGCCTCAGGGCCCAATGGACGTAGAAGCAGGCTAACAAACACATCTATGACGCCACATACACGCCGCCACACGTCAAAGGGTAAACACCTTCTGATAGCCTCCCACGCCATCCATCACCCACCCCACACTCCCGGCCATCAAATGCACCACCCCATGACACGTGGGCTGAGTGTTACCATGACGTCACAAGATGGCCTCATCAGCTGTTCGATGTAAACAAACGGAGTATCGCGCGGAGATGACACAACCTCTTCCTGTTTATTGATGTTCGGAGAGGGGAGGGTGAGGTGGGAGGGTGAGGGAGGTGAGGGTGAGGAGGAGTGAGGTGGAGGTGAGGAGGTGAGAGGAGGAGGAGGAGTGAGGAGGAAGGGGTGAGGAGGGGGAGAGGAGGGAGGAGAGGGAGGAGGAGAGGATGAGGAGGGAGGTGAAGGGTTGGGGAAAGAAAGGCAAAGGGTGAGACAGGTGGTGGAGGGAGGTGAGGGGAGAGAGAAGAGTTAGGAAAAGTAAGGGAAAGGAGAGAAGGTAAAGGAGAGGGGAGAGGAAGGAAGGAAGGGTGGGGGAAGAGGAGAACAAATTGGGATGAGATTAGGCCAGATTAAACTCAGATTAGGCCTAGATTAAGCTCATAATAGGTTTGGTTTAGGCTCATAATAGGCGGAGATTAGGTCATAATAGCCCAGTTTGGGCTCATAATAGGTCGAGATTAAGCCTATGTCAATGTATATTTAAGCCTTCAGGCTGGAACCCTCAATAAAGTGTTAATTGTTATTATTATTATACAGTGTTTATTATATGGTGTACTCACAGGGCTCTGGTGGTGGGCGGGAGACAGTGTGGCCAGATGTCCTTGAGCGAGGTGATGCGGAGGTTGTCATGGCAGGCCACCCTCACCTGCGGGCTGGCTGACATGCCTCGGTCCTCCGGCAGCTGAGTGATCTTACATAGATCCTCCGGGCAGCTGTCGAGTGGGGGCGTGGTCAGGGAGCGTGGCCTCTACTACCTCCTCTCCTCAGGGGTGGTAGAAGGAGGAGGAGGGTGGGAGTTCTCCCGCCGCCCGCCACCAGCAAGATGAGCAGGAGGCGGCAGGCCACCACCCATGCTGGGTTGGTGGGCGGCGTGGGCGGGGTAGTGGTAGTGGTGGTGGGTGGCCGTGGGCGGCTCGGGGGTCGCTTCATGGCCTATGGTCGACGCGGCCTCTCACGCCCATAGTTACCATCTGAAACAACAACAACACTTTAGTAACATCAACAACAAACACACGGAGAGAATCACCAGGTGAATCAGAACCACAGAAACATGTAGAGAATCACCAGGTGAACCATGGGTAAGGGAGGTGGAGGGTGAGGGGTGGGGTGGTGAGGGGGTGAGGGAGAGGGTGGGGTGAGGGTGGGGTGAGGGGTGGGGTGAGGGGTGGGGTGAGGGTGGGGTGAGGGGTGGGGTGTGAGGGTGGGGTGAGGGTGAGGAGGAGGTGAGTGGGGAGGAGGTGAGGGAGAGAGGTGGGGTGAGGGGTGAGGGAGGGGTGGGGGTGGGGGTGAGGAGAGAGTGGAGTGAGGGTGGAGTGAGGGTGAGGAGAGAGGGTGAGGGAGGTGAGGAGAGGGGTGGGGTGAGGGGGGTGGAGAGAGAGGCTGGAGTGGGGGTGGAGTGAGGGGTGTGAGGGAGGGTGAGGGGGAGAGGGGGTGGGGGTGAGGGTGAGGGAGAGGGTGGAGTGAGGTTGGGGTGTGAGGTGGGGTGAGGGGTGGGGGTGGGGTGAGGGGTGGGGGTGAGGGTGGGGTGAGGTGGGTGAGGGTGGTGAGGGTGGGGTGGGGTGAGGGTAGGGGTGAGGGGTGGGGGTGAGGTTGAGGTTGGAGTGGGGGAGAGGGTGAGGGTGGGGTGGTGGGGGAGGGTGAGGAGAGAGGTGGAGTGAGGTGGAGTGGGGAGGTGAGGTGAGGGCAGGGTGAGGTGGGGTGAGGTGGGTGAGAGGTGAGATTGGGTGATGGGGTGGGTGGGGGTGGGGGTGGGTGGGGTGAGGTGGGGGTGAGGGTGGAAGGGGAGAGGGTGAGGGTGGGGTGAGGGTGGGGTGGGGGTGAGGGTGGGGAATTGAGGGTTGGGGTTGAGGTGGAGTGAGGGTGAGAGGGTGGGGAGGATGGGGTGAGGTGGGGTGAGGTGGAGTGAGGGTTGGGGTGGGGGTGTAAGGTGTGTATTGGTGGGTCGGCTAAGGAGAGACTGATAGAGGGAGAGGTGTATGGCAATGGTACCTCCTACCTGCCCGTGATACTCTCCCTTCCTGCCTCCTCTCCCTACCTGCCTGTGATACTCTCCTTCCCTCCTCTGCCTGTGTCTCTCCCTTCCTGCCTCCTCTCCCTTCCTGCCTTGTTCTCCCTCCTCCCTCCTCTCCCTTCCTGCCTGTGACCTCTCCTTCCTGCCTCCCTCTCCCTACCTGTCTCTCCTTCCTGCCTCCTCTCCCCACCTGCCTGTGTCTCTCCTTGCTGCCTCCTCTCCCTACCTGCCTGTGATACTCTCTTCCTGCCTCCCTCCCTACCTGCCTGTGATACTCTCCCTTCCTGTGTCTCTCCCTTGCTGCCTCCTCTCCCTGCCTGTGATACTCCCTCCTCTCCCTTCCTGCCTGTGATACTCCCTTCCTGCCTCCTCTCCCTACTGCTGGCTCCCTTCCTGCCTGTGATACTCTCCCTTCCTGCCTCCTCTCCCTTCTGCCTGTGTCTCCCTTCCTGCCTCCTCTCCCCTACCTGCCTGTGATACTCTCCTTCCTGCCTCCTCTCCCCTGCCTGTGATACTCTCCCTTTCTCCCTTACTCCCACCCACACACCTGCCCTGGGTCACCCTAACTTCTTACCTTTAGTAAATTAACAAAACACAACGATAACGTAATTTAACAAGATATGAATTTTTGTTGATGTTAATTGTTGTTGTTATTGTTGGTGGTTGTTGTTGTGGGTGGTGGTGGTAGGTGGTGGTGGTTGTTGTGGGTATTGGGGTGGTGGTGGTTGTTGTGGGTGGTGGTGGTGGTGGTTGTTGTTTTTAGTGTTTTGAAGAGAGCATCCTAGTTACGACACACAAGTGAATGCATTACTGTGATGGAAGATCCCTTAGCAACGCCGACTTCCGCTCTTACACTGTACCAAGGCTTTCAACTCTATTTCTTTCATTATTTATTTCATTTCTTTCATTTCCTTCATTATTTCTTTCATTATTTCTATCATTTCTTTCATCATTTCTTTCATTTCCTTCATTATTTCTTTCACTTCTTTCATTTCTCTCATAGCTGGAGGGTCCCTTCCTACTCTCCCTGCCCCTCCCTCCCTACTCTCCCTGCCCCTCCCTTCCTTCCTAGTCTCCCTGCCCCTCCCTCCCTTCCTTCTATCCCTCACTTTTCCTATACCCCTTCATCTCCCTCCCTACTCTCCCTGCCTCACCACAGTGCCCAGGGAGTGCCAGGCGTGACCCAACAGTGCCACCGTCCGGGTTTAAAGAGACGCTCACAATATGGTACTTATGACGTCACACATACACCAGTCAGTCAGTCAGTTAGTCAGTCCACTCACCTCTCTCCCTCACTACCTGTCAGCTCGGGAGTCTGACTGACACTCGCTCTGACACATATTTGTCAGTGTCAGCTGAGAGAGAGAGAGAGAGAGGAGGAGAGAGTGAGAGAGAGAGAGAGAGAGAGGGATTGTGTGGTAGTGGTAGTAGGTGGTGGTGGTGGGTGGCGGTGGTAGAAAGGCCACCACACTTATTCCAGCTTAATTTCACTACAACTTCTGCCTGTTAGTCCTAGGAGAGAGAGAGAGAGAGAGAGAGAGAGAGAGAGAGAGCAACAAGGAAAACAACAACAACAATAACTTGGTTCAAAATTTAAGCTAGGCCAAACACCTGCCTCTAATGACCCGACTCGTGTGTGTGTGTGTGTGTGTGTGTGTGTGTGTGTGTGTGTGAGAACATATTGAATTAGTTAATGGAAAGGTTTAATTAATATAAGTAATTATTTTTTTACGACTTACATACACACACACACACACACACACACACACACACACACACACACACACACACACACACACACATAGGCCCTACATAAAGATAAAACTATATATTTATGTAAACAATCAAATAAAATCAATTTCCATGTGTATGTCTATATGTATGTACGTGTATAAACGCATGTATGTATGTATGTATGTATGTATGTATGTATGCAATTAAGATTTCAGTTATGTATTTACACACACAGCCACGTTGGAACATTTTTACATATTACAGCAAAAATATGTAATAACTCAGCTGTAGTCTACCACCCATAAGAACAACACAGAAGTCAATGTAAATCACGAGAATGTAAAAAACTGAGTCCCTTAAACCGTATCAGAGGATTGGGTTATGTAAATGACTAGACTGAAGTGTAAATAATCTTGTAAATTAAAGAACAAAAATGTAAAAAACTTGTAAATTTCATAACATGTAAAAAAAACTTGTAAACCAAAGAACTAAAGTGTAAAAAAATATTGTAAATCACATAACCCAAATGTAAATGACAAGCGACTATAAATTCAGAGCCCTAAACTCACCCTAAAGTGTAAATAGATGACTGTTTACTTGTTTACGACTGGAAATATAAACACAATCGTTATCATAAACAAATACTTTCCAGTTTCAAATACTTTCCAGTTTCAAATACTTTCCAGTTTCAAATACTTTCCAGTTTCAAATACTTTTCAGTCCAAATTTCAAATACTTTTCACTGTAAATTTCAAATACTTTTCACTGTAAATTTCAAATACTTTTCAGTCTGTTTCAAAACTTTCAAGAATCTGTTCCAAGGTTGAATCAGTGTTAATATCAAGTCTCACCAACCAAACACTGTTACCACATAACGAGAGAGAGAGAGAGAGAGAGAGAGAGAGAGAGAGAGAGAGAGAGAGAGAGTGAGTCACGCCACCCGATAACACACCATCGACCACACCATTACACCTATCAACAAGTACACCTGACCACACCACCTTCCTTCCTTCCTTCATTCTTTAATTCCTTCCTTCCTTCATTTTCCCCCAGTCCCAATTCAATATCTATCTACCTATCTTTATCAATTCATCTCACGTATCTAAATTATTCTCTCTCTCCCCTCTCCCCAATTTATCAGGCTCTCTTTATCTTCTGTTTCGTTCAGGTAATCTTTCTCTCTCCCCCACACCCCAGTTTATCAAGATTATTCTCTATCCCTCCCTCTTCCTCTCTCTCTTCCTCTCTCTCCCCGTCTCCTTCTTCCTCTCTTTCCTCCTCTCTCTCCTTCGTTCAGGCAATCCATCTCCCGAATCCCACGTGATTTATCGAGCTTTCTCTCTATGTCTCCTTCGCCCCAGTAATCCATTTTTCTCCCTCCCACTTCGTTTATCAAGTCTCATTAATCACGCTTTATCGCCCTGGCTTCATTTTTTTCTCATTTTTCTTTTTCTCTCATTCGTATATGACTAATTCTTGTGTTTCTTTTATTATTATCTTTTATTAATCTGTTTTTCTATCTCCCGTTCGTGTAAGTCGGATTTGTTATTGTAATTTATCAGTCTTTCTCTCTCGTTCGTACAACAACAATAACAATAATAATAATAACAACAATAATAATAATAATAACACTAATAATAAAAATAATAATGACAATAATAATAATAATAATAATAATAATAATAATAATAATAATAATAAAACACACCCACCTAACCTAACCCACAATACCCACCTCTATTAATTAATCCACACACTATCCACTATCCACACAAACATTTTTCCCCCCAAAGAATTGCTGATTTTAGCCACATTTCCTTCACAAAGTCTAAAATAAAAATAATATTGTTATTTTAGTGGATTTGTGAACACGACTGAGTTATGGCGATGTTGAAATTGTAATAAATGTTGATATTATTGTTATTATTATTATTGTTGTTATTATTAAACTGTTATTGTTGTTATTATTATCAAACCGTAGACGACCAGTTCCAAGCATTACCTTACGTTCAAACACTCGTAATAAAACCAATTTCACATTTCCTTCACAAAAAAACTCCCTCAAACCCCCAATTTCACATTTCTTACACAAAAACTCAATAAGAACTCCCCCTAAAAAACCATATACCTATTTTCAGCTGAACTCACGGGGGGAAATAAGATTCGTTCACATCACTAACACTTAAAAACAGAATCTGTAAACGCGGCCACTTGCTACACTAATATCCCGGGTGAGCTGAGTAGTCTTGTCTCTCTCTCTCTCTCTCTTCTAAGCTCACCACTGGGTTGGGAGAGTGAGAGGGGCGCGGTGTGGGAGAGCGTGGGAGAGGCGTGTGTGAATGCCACCGCGTTTGAGAGCCAACTGACTGCCTGTGTGCCTGGCTGGTGGTGGTACTGCTCTGGTTGGCCCTCTCTCTCTCTCACACACACTCACTCTCTCTCTCTCACACACTCACTCTCACACACTCACTCTCACACACTCTTATCTCCCCTCCCCACCATAAAACACAAGCGCCCTAAATATTATTATAGATCACGTCCAGACAGTAATGCATCACCCTGGACAGATATTACAGCTTTATGTCATGTAATTAAGACTGAGTGTTCCCTTGAGTATTACTAGCTCCACCTACTAGCATCTTACTAGCTCCACCTACTAGCACCTTCCTGTATGAGGACTCGTGTGTGTGTGTGTGTGTGTGTGTGTGTGTGTGTGTGTGTGTGTGTGTGTGTGTGGTAACAGCAGACACCACACAGACGAGGCATAAAAGCATCCCTGTTTTCTCCTCCTCTTCCTTCTTCCCACCTCCTCCTCTTCCTTCTCCCACCTCCTCTCCTTCCTCTTCCCACCTCTTTCTTCCTCCTCCTCCTCCTCCTCTTCCTAATTGCCTCCTACCTCTCTCAATTAATTCTTCCTCCCCTTCCTTCCCTTACTCATTCTCCTATATTTACTCCACTTTTCTTCAATTCTCTCCTTCTCCACTATCATTATCTAACCATTATCACCCTTCACACCTCCCCTCCTCCCCATCACCTCACCCCCTCCTCCTGTCACCACCTCCTCCTCCCCATCACCTCACCCTCCTCCCCATCACCTCCTCCCCATCACCCCCCCTGAAGGACTTTATTCACCCCCTCCAAAAAAACCTGTCATAGATAACATTTCTTTCCTGGGGCTCAATTCTCAAAGGTTCCTACGTTCAATTTTCCTCCTAACTGATGGTGGAGAGGTGTGGGGAGGGGTGGGGAGGGGGTGGGGAGGTTTTGGGGAGGGGTGGGGAGATTGTGGGGAAGGTGTGGGTAGGTAAGGGGAGAAAAAAATTACTTCAGGGCTTCTATTAAATATGAACCAGGACTCTCCCCTCTCTCAGCCCCCCTCCCCCCTCCGTCCCTCTCTACTTACCTCTCCCCTTTCTTCCAACACCTCTCACCACTTTCCCAGGGGACCTCTCACTACTCTAGCACACACACACTCTCCCACTCACTCACTCACTCGCTCTCTCTCTCTCTCCCACTCACTCACTCGCTCTCTCTCTCCCACTCACTCGCTCGCTCTCTCTCTCCCACTCACTCGCTCGCTCTCTCTCTCCCACTCACTCACTCACTCACTCGCTCTCTCTCTCTCTCCCACTCACTCTACTCTCTCTATCTTTAATCTATCATACAAACTCTCTCTCTCTCTCTCTACAACACGCATCAGTGAGAAACATGAAAGTCGGGTCTTAATGAACCTCAGGGATTAAGAGATGCGGACCAGCGTATGACTGATTAAATGGACCCGGGTACTAATGGGTTCGGGTTCTAATGGGTCCGGGTTCTAATGGGTCCGGGTACTAATGGGTCCGGGCACTACGTATCCAAGTACTAGCCGGGTCCGGGTCTTCTACCCGTCCGCACTAATGGGTCCGGGTACTACGGGTCCGGGTTCTAATGGGTTCGAGTCTCTAATGGGTCCGGGTTCTAATGGTCCGCCCCTAATGGGTCCGGCCCTAATGGGTTCGGGTTCCCAATGGGTCCGGGTCTAATGGGTTCTGAGTTCTAATGGAATTGTCTTAATGGGTCCGGGTTCCCCAATGGACCCGGTTCTGATGGGTTCGGGTTCTAATGGGTCCGGTTCTAACGGCCCGGCCCTAATGGGTCCGGGTTCTAATGGGTCCGCCCCTAATGGGTCCGGCTCCTGGGCCGGGTTCGGGTTCTAATGGGTTCGGGTTCTAATGGGTCCGGGGTTCTAATGGGTTCGCTCCCCAATGGGGTTCGGGTTCTAATGGGTTCGCATTAGGAGTGAAAAAATAACATAGAACATTTTTAAGATCCTCCAGGGTAGTTAAAGGGGATGAATTGGGTAGTTGGTGATTGTCTCCTCGTCAGCAATTACTCTATCTCTCCTTTATTATCTCTTTCTCTCTCTTATCTTATCTTTAACCTCCCCTCTTCTCCTACCCTTCCTTTCCTCCCTTTTCTCTCCCTCTCCTCCTCCCCTTCCTTCACCTCCCCTCTCCTTCCTCTCCTCTATTCTTTCATTCTTCCTCTTTTATGTTTTTATCGTGTTTTTATTATCTTCGTTCCCTCTTCCTCTCTTTCCCAACCTCTCAACATACATACATACATACATACATACATACATACATACATACATACACACACACATCACCCCCCTCCCCTCCACACCCAATAAACTCAAACTAACCTTGATATAACTATTTCCAGATCCCATAATGACCATCCCACTACAACAATATCTGGTCGCGGTAACCATTTGCATACTGCCTACCATTAACCAGAGTTAGTACGATTACCGTGAGATAACAACTTAACCCCTTAACGTACAGAGTTAAGGTAAAGTCTCAGTATAATCCTGACGTCATTCTTACGTATTAACTTAATCCAACTAGTTATGTAAGACCTCCCCCCCCCAAAAAAAACAATTTCCTAGGGTGAAGGGATATAACACCTGGAGCGGAAATGAGAGAGGAACACACACGGAGTTAATGACCAGTGGATAAAGAGCTACAATAATCTATGTCGTTGGTGGGAGGTTAATCCTACGTCAGCCAGCCACTGTCCACGAGCGCTGCCACAGATCAGTTGGTTGACAATTGGGGTCCGTTGGTTATTAAGTGTTATTTATTATTATTTATTATCATGTGTATTGTTATTATTATTTGATGAAGGGATTAGATATATGTATTAATTGGTGTTGTTGATGCCAGAGGGAGTTTGAATCATACGCCCGCCAATGACGCTGCCAAAACACAGACACACCAGCTCATTAAAATTGGCCCTAATTCATTCTCCAGGCAGCCCAGCAAGTCTCCCTCACAAGAATGTCACAACACCACTATAAAAATCTTCCTGATAGATTGTGGTGGTAACATCCATGGCGACCTGACCTAAGTTAACCTAACACAAACTTGACCTAACCTAAATTAACGTAACCTAACGTCACAGCAATAACGTAAATTTTATGCAGACCATCACCAGAAAACGTGGGGAGGAGGAGGGAGGGGAGAGAAAGGTGGGGAGGGGGAGAGAGGATGGTGAGGGAGGGCAAGGGGCGAGGAGGAAAGGGCAAGGAGGGAAGAGTGCAAGGGAGATGGAAGGTGCAAGGGGTAGGAATTACGGGGAGGTGGGGAGAAAGGGAGAGGGAGGAAAGGGGAGGAGGGGGAGGGGAGGAAAGGGGGAGAGGTGGGAAGGAAAGGGGGAGAGGTGGGGGAGGGGGAGAGGTGGGGAGGGGGCGAGGTGGGGAGGAAAGGGGGAGAGGGGTCTTAGCACCTCGTTCCAAAAGCTTTTCAAGGATTAGTGTTCGTAGTGCAATAAATGAAACACTGTGATATGTGACTTCAGGCCCGTGACTGACTGACTGACACCCTGATGCTGACTGACTGACTGACTGACACCCTGATGCTGACTGAGTGACTGACTGACACCCTGATGCTGACTATCTCAGTAATCGGACGTTTGAGCCACGGTTAGGTAAGGTTATGTTAGGTTCTAGTCTGCCTCGCCCAAACTAAAAGTCCTCCATTAAACTACAGTAGTTCCCCCTGTGTGAGATAAGTAACGTGTTCTTTAATTAATGAAGGAGGAACTAAAGAAAATGTGAGAGAGAGAGAGAGAGAGAGAGAGAGAGCTATCTAAACCTCGTTATGAATTAGGTTAGGTTAGGTTTTCAAATGTTTTTCTGGTGTTTCTCCCCCACAGTATTGATATTTTTGGTAATATATAATGTAAAACTACGTCAGATTAATGTGGGGTTTTTTTTTATATCACCTGAAGGTCAAACACTCCAGCGTATTTCACCTTAAAGTAGCACACACACCCACACACACATACACAACATACACATACGCACACAACACAAACATCACATACAACACACACACACGTTCCCAAAACTCAACACCAACACACATACAGTAATTCCATCTCAGCTTATCATATGCAAATAAGGTTCCACAAATGCTCGTTATCATCCTAATTACAGATAAAGATGATTAAACACACCAACCACAGGACTTATACCGAACGACTGTCTAGCTCATTGAAATACCACTTGTAGATAAGTTATAATCATGCCAGTGTTAATATTAACCTATGAAAAACCAGATTAAAGTTACTATCATATTTAACGGTGTGAAATATTTACTGATAATTATTTTAGGTTTGTCTCTTATCCAGTGAGAATTCATATTAACCTAACCTAACCTAACCTAACCTAACCTTATCTAATGCAGCTTAAACTAACCAAACCTTACCTAATGCAGCTTAAACTAACGAAACCTTACCTAATGCAGCTTAAACTAACCAAACCTTACCTAATGCAGCTTAAACTAACCAAACCTTACCTAATGCAGCTTAAACTAACCCAACCTTACCTAATGCAGCTTAAACTAACCAAACCTTACCTAATGCAGCTTAAACTAACCAAACCTTACCTAATGCAGCTTAAACTAACCAAACCTTACCTAATGCAGCTTAAACTAACCAAACCTTACCTAACTCAGCTTAAACTAACCAAACCTTACCAAACTCGATTTTAACTTAACTTAACCTAACCTAACCTAACCTAAACTAACCCAACTACAAACATGGCTAATATAACTAAATAACCTGTAGATATATTTAAATTAGGGTAGGTTTACATAGGACAGGTCAAGCTAGGTTAGATTATGTAGGTTAGGTTAGGTTAGGTTAGCAGAGGTTAGGTTAGGTTTTGTAAGTAAAGTTAGGTTAAATTATGTAGGTTAGGTTAAGTTTGGTTAGGTTATGTGTCATTAAATGTGAAACCTTCATTTAACGAACAATATAGGGGGAAAGTCCATTATATCGAGGTTCCGTTACATGTAAAACCTCCATCGAACGGACAATAACCATTATATCGAGGTTCGTTATGAGGCCGTTTGACTGTAATCTATAAAAATACAAATCAACTTTTAAAACCCAATCAAATGCGAGGAGGATAAAATACCACATTAATTACACGATCAACAACAACAAGCATTGACTCGTTTACACAATTTACACTAGTCACAAAAGCTTACATAATTTACATGAGTCAGACACAAAAGAATCTACACACACTGACTCATTTACACAATTTACAAGTCACAAATGACCTCTCTAAAAAAAAAAAAATAAAAATAAAATGCTACTGTACTAATCACTTATTTTATACAGCAACTGCTATTATAAAACTAACCAGCTGTAGTTTATTTTCAAGTGTAAATAAACAAATACAGCAGATGCCGGAAAAATTATTAAAAGCACGAAGAATAACAAATAACAGCGCGGCAATTTATTTATTTTCATCAGGTGTAAACAAACAATCGTAAAAACTTGGAAAAAAATAATAAAAACAAGAAAAATAACAATTAGCAGCGCGCCAATTTAGTTTTTTCATTCTCTCAATATCAACAAAGTGTTTTAACGAAGTGCGACAGTTCTGGGAAAAAAGCGTTCCCCCTTCCACAACACACACTCTCTCTCTCTCTGCTGTAATATTACCTCAAATAAACAATCATTTATCCGTACACAATAACAAATAGATAACGTGAATATTAAATTTATTACAGGTACAATTTATGTATTTTACCTAACCTAACTTAACCTAACACTAATGCAATCTAACATTAACCCAACCTACCCTAATTTATTTCACCTAAAGATTAACCACCCTATTGCTAGCTTAACTTAACATTAACCCAATCTAACATAACCTAACATTAATCTAACCTAACCTAACCTTAGTGCAACCAAAACAATTCAGATATACCTCACATTTATCTTCTATTACCACGAGAAAACAGGAATAAATCATAAAATACAAATTACTGTAACGTGATAGAGACCAACAGGACAAAAAAAAAGAGTTACAGTACAGTATTTCAGCTTTAAATTTCTCTTGATTCACACATCTGGACAGGCCTTGCCAAGCACCCACTCAGAGGTACGGAAACGGTGGAGGAATATTGCACAAACACACATGATTGTTTTTGTAAATTGGGAAATATTCAGATGTAACACTGTATTGAGGAGTATTGTACAAAACACACTTGATTGTTTTTGTAAATAGGGAATATTCTGACGTAACACTGTATTGAGGAATATTGTACAAACACACATGACTGTTTTTGTAAATAAGGAAATATTTTAATGTAACACTGTAATGAGAATTAAATAAAGGAGGAATATTCTACAGACAAGCTAAATTATTTCTGCATATTGACAAACATTCTGACAGGACTGTATTGCCAAATGAACTAAAACCCGATGGCAAATCAACCGTGAGTAATATACACACCGACCATTTTAATAGGGGTACAGTATATACCTAACAATGAACCGATGTGTTTTTTAAATCGTAAAGGCAAAGCGTGAAGGACACAGTCGACCAATGGCAAGACGACGAAGGAAAGTGGAATAAAATCAGTACTCGATAACTAAAATGTCTCATCAACGCAACAACAGGCACGGTTGCTTTTGATCTGTGTTTAATTATAGAGACTTCAGCACCAATTATTGATTTTCTTTTGTTTCGTCATTTTACCGATGACTAAACTGTGTGCGTGTGTGTGTATGTACAGAAGAACCCTACCAAATTCTATTCATTCCTCACCCCACTAAAAAAAGAACATGCTAAACTAACTTAATAGAGATAGTGTAGTAACCCCTTGTGTACAGGTCGTCTTGTCGTCTCGGAGATGAATAAAGTCATCTGGCATGAACTAAATTATTAAAAGTGGCTCCCATGTAGTGCTGGGGTCATTTATCTTCAGGTGTAATAAGCTGTAGTGTCTAAGCTTCAGGTGTAATAAGCATGAGTGTCTAATCTTCAGCGGCTAAGGTTTCTCTACACCACCTCCCTTCCCACCCCCACACTGTATGTATATAAACGGAACACACGGAACATAAACGGAACACAAACGGAACATAAGGAACACAAAACACCACTGATGATAATGGCTTAGTGACGTAAAAGATTCATGCTCATTAACCCCTTGTGTATGGGGTCTCCTCCGAGCTAAATAAAATAATAAAATTGGCGTCCCCGTAGTGAAGGGGTTAACGGAGATAGCTTATTAACTCCTTGTTTAAAGTTAATAACAATGTTTTAATTAACTAAAATTCTTTACAGAACAAAATTTCAATGGCTGAAGTCTTAACACAGTACAATATATAGTTAAAGTAAAATTCTTCAACAGCTGTGAATTTCCAACTACGGATACACAAAAATGTATAGTAATAATAATAATAATAATAATAATAATAATAATAATAATAATAATAATAATAACAATAACATAATAATAATAATTATGCAGTTCAGTTCTGGTGCCCCTATTATAGAATGGATATAAATTCACTAGAGTCGGTGCAGCGAAGAATGACGAAAATGATTCCGGGACTTAGAAACCTTCCATATCAGGATAGGTTAAAGAAACTTAACTTACATTCCCTAGAAAGACGAAGAGTGCGGGGAGATATGATAGAAGTATTTAAGTGGGTGAAAGGAATCAATAAAGGAGATATAGATAAAGTTCTTATAATATCCGAGCAGGATAGGACTCGGAGCAACGGATTTAGGTTGGATAAGTTTAGGTTTAGGAGGGAGATAGGAAGGAACTGGTTCACAAATAGGGTGGTGGACGAGTGGAACAAGCTTAGCAACTTTAGTAAGTGCTGGAACGCTGGAAAGTTTTACAAGGAGGCTAGATAGATTCATGGATGATAGAGAGTGACTCTCGACCTGCCTCTTCCTTGCCTTGCCAAGCCAGCTGAGGCTAAACCTAAACTAACTTTACCTAACCTAACCTGACCAATTCACATGACTGAAACTTATACATTAACTTTATGAAATTAAACCCCAATATAATGGTAGCCAATGGTACAATGTATCTACGACATTTTACCATTGTATCTTTTATTAAATTACAAAATCATTTATATACACTGTAGAAATAGATGCCAATGGTATTATACACTGTAGAAATAAGCACCAATGTAGTTCTACAATTTTCACCAATGTATTCAATGCTTTAATATATCCTACACCATTAATATATTGGAATGGTATATAATGGTACAATATACACCATTCCTCACCAATATAACCAATTTTAATACATAAAATAATACCCAATGGAAATAGACCTACCATTACTACCTCTCTATATCCAAAGGTACTAAAGATACCAATATAACATCAATATATCCACTAGATACCAATATAATACCATAGAAAAAGATTACATTGGAATTTTTTGGGGGTAGCATTCCTCTTGACATGTACAATAGAATATACACAAATACATCATTAAATATACATAATTCACATGGATTTTATACATCAATAGTACATTTAAAGGAATAGAATGGATAAATAGATACCAATGTTCCCCCCCTTCAATAGATACCAATAGAACCAATGGGAAACTCCTACGTCCTTATTTATCTCCATTACTACTGTACTATTGGGGTTTATATTCATAGTATATACTCACCTAACACCTATACGGGATTCCACGTCGTTAAATCCGTCTTGGAGTTGAAAATAAGGTCAAAATAAGGGTTAAATCCTCACTAATACGACAGGTAACACACCGAACACAACACACATAGACCCTAACAGTGATTCCAAGCAGCTGATTGGTTGACAGACATCACTACCTCGATGATGATTGGCTAACAAAAATACACATAAACAAAACAGCCAATGAGAGAAAACGTACATGTGTTTGTATCAGAGAAAATGGGAAATATTAAGGGGATACTACTCAATATATTTTTCCCTAAGGGTTTTTGTCGCAGGTGTTAACATATTTTCCTGAAGGCTAAATATTGTCTGTCTGTATTTGTCTGTCTGTATTTTATCCATCTGACATGTTTATAATTGGTTTAGACATAAAGTTCAAGATGTATAAATTATATTAAGTAATTTGTATGGTTTCTAAGATGAGTATTTGTATAATTTTAAGATACTAAGTAATTTGTGTAGATTTTAACATAAGTAATTTGATTAAAGGGAATTTTCACACAGATTTGCGGGTAGATTTGAGGCTATTGATTCAAGACCACCAGTGTGTGAGTCAGGGTTTGTTAGATCTGTTTTATCTTCGCCTCTGATCGACTCATTAGCCACTTGGGCGGTCGGTCACGTCTCTCTTACGCACAGTTGGAAAATACTGGACAAGTACTGGCTCTCTGTTACACATCGTTGGCAAACACTGAGGAAGTATAGTGGCTCCAGAATGTATCTGTACAGGAACGGATTCAAAGGGGTCCTAGGGGCGAAGTGATTAAAGTAAAAAAGTAAAACGTTATACAAGAACAGTTGCTTGATTTATCTTTATTTACGATAATTTCCCGCCACTGGGATGTCTCGTTCACCCCAGCATCTGTACAATGATATCTTAAAGGTTCTCAGAGATCATTGAACCAACAGTGAAAGGAATTTACCATAAAGATCAAAGGTTAAGGTCAATTTTCTTACCATATTCACGTGACTATGTCTGAAACAGGGCGAGCAATTCCCGTAGACTTTATAAAACTGGCACCAAACAAAACGATAACGTATGTATATGACAGCTATAATAATAATAATAATAGAAGCCCAGTGTTGTGTGTACTGTATATAACAACTCCGTCACAACGAGAGTTCAGGTTCTCTTCTTCTCTACAATGTTGACAAACTGGTGAAGGTCTGTCGCGAGGAGTGCTGGTTCTTCCATGGCGGCAAAGTGACCTCCTGTAGCCTGGTCACTGTACAGGGGTAGTATCTGGTTATTATAGGAACTACAGGGTTGTATTAATACCTCTTACCTAACTGGAAACACTAAAGACTTCTAAAATATTAACCTGTAATATGTATTTCAGTATTAAAAGGCAATAAATGGTTGTACTGTATTATGTAATTGTTGTAATGATGGTATTTTTGTAATTGTATAATGTTGGAATGGAAAGGTGAATGGTGGGATAAATAAAAAGAGAATAATGATTTAAAAAAGTTCACAAAGGAGGGAGGGAGGGAGAGAAGGAGAGGGAAGGAGGGTTGGGGGGTTAAAGGAAGGAAGGGGGAGGGTGGGGGATAGGAAGTAAGGGGAAGGAAGGAAAGAGAAGAGAGAGGAGAGGAAAGAAGACAGAAGATAAAAGGAAGTAAGAATGACAAGTAAGCTGACAAGACCAAATACCTGAACGGCTAGTAAGCTGTAAGGACCAAAAGCTTGAATGGCTCATAAGCTGACAAGTGATGGAAATGCTACAAACTTTAAAACACAGTATAGGAAACCCTCTCAATAAGGGACAGGGTACTGGAAAAAGTCTGGTATTGGGAGGATTAACTACACAGGTTCTTACTTGTTGGTGACGATGTTGTAGTACTTGTGTGAGGCGAAGCTCTTGGGTGAGTTAACAGACTCATGGGCAAAGGTGACTAACCCAGCCGGCACGACACATGGGATACTGTAAAGATAGAGAGTGCGTGAGAGTGTGTAAGAGAGAGAGAGAGTGTGAGTATAAGAATGAGAGAATGGGAGAAAGACAGAGAGAGTGACAGATAGTGTGTGTGTATGGAAAAATGACAGACAGAAAGACAATTTCACTGAATAAATCTGACCTGACCCCCAATAATCACGTCTGAGAATACAAATAAATCGACTGACACAAACCCGTTAACTTACTTGTCAAGGGATTTAGAGACGAAATTTTTGTTGAAGGTCTCGGCGTACAAACGAACGCTGGTGGTGATGGTGCTTGTGAACCTATGGGTGTAAGCAGAGGGTCACGTGTCTTATATATTGAATCACTTTTATTACAATGAGAAAAAGTTGAACAAATGATGAATATTTTACTGATTTTTGTTGATGATTTGAACACAGTTTATGGGGACCTAGAAGATATATACTTTATCTAATAGACATAAACACAGCAGACAGAGACAGCAGACATAACCGTACCAGTAGATAGAGATACAAACACAGCAGACAGAGACAGCAGACATAACCGTACCAGTAGATGCAGATATTGTCCAACATAGCATCAAGAGATATAGGAAAGTGTTGCTGCAAGAGGCTACCATCAGGCTGGTGAAGGTTGTCCCTGTGGGTCCAGCTGCTGAACTTCTCCAAGATGTACGCTGCCAGGCTTACTGGGCTCTGGTTAAGTGCCGCTCCTGTGTGTGTTTACTGACTGTTAGACTGTCACAGTTATAGTGATCTTGGATGTGTTTATGACTGTTAGACTGGTTAAGTGGTACAATGACACAGTTAAAGTGATTCTGCATGCGTTCACTGACTGTTAGAAGGTTGAATGATACAGCCCCTTCATCTGACAGCACAAGTAAAGAAGACACAACAGATGAAGGAATTTAACAAATCTTCTGAGACAAGAGGAGTCACAAGACCTCTCCACAATGATACTATTTGGAGTGAGCGTTTATATAGAAGACTCTGAGGGTGATAGAGACACAATATTATAAAGACGAGAAGAACTCACCAATAGTATCAGGTTTAGTGGCGTGAAGGTGCAAGTAGCCAGACTCACGAGCCATCATGGAGACGAAGGTGGAGAGAGGGTAGAGCTTGTGTTGGTCCTCCTCCTCCACCACCACCCCAGCAGGTAGTAATGCCCCCAGTACCATCTTCAGGTTGGCTCCAGGAGTGTTGATTGTAAACATATTCACATGGATACCTAAAATGCTGGACAAGATAATGTTTTAAGTTACAAAAATTAATAAATAATATGAGTTGAAGGATATTAATAATGTTTAACTATATATTCAAGTAATGCTACTGATTTAAGGGGTCTTTTTTTAGTGATGGAACCCTTTCATAAGACAAGAGATGCCTGTATACTGCAATATAAAGTCCATCAACACACGCTCATGAAAGATAATGAAATATAAGAGTTCCTTAATAAATGTGGCATTGAGTTAGGAATGTATGTCAGGAAAAGAACCCCAGAAAGCACTGTACTTAATGTCACTATACAAATGCTCTGAATAGTGACACATTATTTAGTACAGATGAAAGGTACAAGCACTATACTATACTGTACTATACTGCACTATACAATACTATACTGCACTATACTATACTCACTTGTTAGGGTACATTGTGGCCATGTTGGAAGCTATGAGTGAACCCCAGTCTCCACCCTGTAGGTAAAACTGCTTGTATCCCAGCCTCTTCATCAGCTTAAGGAACACCTGGGCTGCTTCAAGCTGACCAAAACCTGGAATAAAACTTTGGATTGAAGTATTAGGAGGTAGGGAGTAAGGGGGGGGGGAGTGAGGAGGTGAGAAGGAGTATGATGGAGTGTGAGGTAGTATGAGGGAGAGCGAGGTAGTATGAGGGGGTGAGGTAGTATGAGGGGGTAAGGGAGTATGAGGGGGTAAGGGAGTATGAGGGGGTGTTTGGGGAAGGAAGGAGGCAGAGTGTGGGGGGGATAGGGAGAGGTTATGTAACATTTTGATGGCTTATTTACTGTTTTAAATTCACTCTACCTTGTTTTGAATTGACTTTACCTAATATTAAATTGACTGTACTGTACCTTGTTTGGATGAGCCCTGAGAGAAGCCATAGCCAGGGATGGAGGGACAGATAACCTCAAACACAACACTGCTGCCCTCCTGTGGGTTGGTGAGCAGCGGCAAGATGTCATAGAACTCCACGAAGGAGCCCGGCCACCCGTGGATCAACAACAGTGGCACTACCTTCACATTCTTGGCACTCCCCGCCTTGGCACCTGCTCGCATGAAGTGAATGTCTAGACCCTCGATGTGCGTCCTGGAATAATAATTTATGTTGGGAATTTTTTTTTTGGACAGGTAATGACTTTGATTATTTGTATACCTCTTATGACACTGTACCACTAACACCACACCCTACCCATCAACACCACACCCTACCCATCAACACCACACCCTACCCATCAATACCACATCCCTCCTGTACTACCCACCCATCACTAGCTACGGTTAATTCACCCTATTTTCATATATTCCTGACTACACACTATCACCCCCCACCCCACCCTACACCACCCCACCCTACCCCACCCCACCCTACCCCACCTCACCCTACCCCACCTCACCCTACCCCACCCCAACAATGACTCTGCATAAACCAACCAATTTACATGATGGGGTTCAAAACGTGTGTATGTGTGTGTGTGTGTGTGTGTGTGTAAACCATGAGGAGATAAATGCCTAAAAAAATCTTAATTCAATATACACTGAATTCCTCACAGATTCGGCTCCATCAGACATATTTCACTTTGGTTTTTATTAATTAGTGTTTTATTTATGCTTCACAGTCACGTACACTAATCATTAAATAAGATGGTTTAAAAAAAAGAGTCATTCAGGTTTATCAATGCAGGGTTAAGCTGGCTGGGGTTATATGAGCTGGGATTATGGTTGGCTGAGGCTATGGTTGGCTGGGGTTATATGAGCTGGGATTATGGTTGGCTGAGGCTATGGTTGGCTGAGGCTATGGTTGGCTGGGGATTAGTGTGAGCAGAGTAGTTAAGACATACTTGAAGTGAGGATAGGTGTTAAGTCTAGTCTGCCGCTTGTTCCAGTCATATTTCTTTCTCCAGTATTGTACAATTGTGTGTAAGGTGTCAGCGTTGATGCCATAGGTGAAGTTGGCGTCTTCCAGGCCTGGGGTGAGTCTCAAGGGCAGCGCCAGACGGGCCTTTAGGTCATCTACCTCCTGCAGTCAACAGACAACTTCATAATTCACTGTTTTAGTCTGACTTAACACTGATTTATCCTTAGTCATTATTAAGTTAGTTTTAACCTAACTTAACCTTAGTCATTGTTAAGTTAATTTAAAGTATTTAACATTACTGAACCTTTTTGGAGAAATTGATGTTGAAGCGATTGATGGAGACGTCTTCCTGTTGTGGTTCTCCAGGTGCCCACCAAGGGTTGGGGTCAAGGGTTGGTAGTGGAGGCTCCTTGTTCATCTTGGAGAGTTTATGGGCGATAATAACCACCATCAGCCCCACCACCACCATCCTCAACCACCCCATCTGTAACATATATAGTGAGGGTAGTTAGTGCTTCATTAACCACCACCACCACCACAATCATCTCCAATCACCCAATCTAGTTCACTGCTGGGCACCCTCAGTCCACCCAGCTGTAAATGGGTACCTACATTTACAGTTGAGGAAGTAATGATGGTTAGGTTCAGTACTTTTTCATGTTAACTCACACCAATTTTCATTTTTTACACACATATCAAAGTTTATTTTTCTTTTCACATGAGTTAATGTTTACCAAAGTAACCTTCTTATGCATCATGTTCAAAAGTACACATGGCTACATATATACATACACAAACCATGTACACTGAAATACACACACACACATTTATTCACATTCATGTAAATAAATACAAAACGAGGTTAAAGAACACAATACTAATGGACATTTACATAATTACACCCAGTTTATAGATAATACATACCAATTAGTTAAACACATCACAGTTAACAGCCTAAGTACCCTGGGCATTAACATAACCCACAACATGACTTTAAATATAACAGTAGAAAATAAATAAAAACCATTGGAGTATTTAATCCTTACCTTTGTGTCGTGATTGTCCACAGGTGCCCAAGTGACTCGTGGTGTACAAGGTCCACCTCCTCACCTGTCATGAAACACACTGACCCATGGAGGAAAGGAAGGATATCTTGTTAATGATTGAGATGATAATAAACTAACTGGCAATTATCTGGATCTATAAGAGTTCACCAGCTCGTGTTTTAGTTATAGTATTTTGTGCTTTATTGATGTTGTTCAGTTACCAGTGTTAATTATTTTATTAGCTTGGTGTTGATTAGCTGATATTTAGGCATTTTGTTTATAGATATATAGATAGAAAGGTAGATAGATAGCACCTCGCCTCCCTCTCTCTCTCTCTCTCTAATTAAGTGGTTTCTGAGGGAGTGTGGCAATCCTCTGATGATTAGGATCAGTATGGTGACGTGTCCGGAAAATTGAGAAGCTTATCAGAGATTAAACTATATTCATGGCCAGTCAAGAGAGAGAGAGAGAGAGAGAGAGAATGAAAATTTAGTTCCCATAGCAATATCTTAAGGAATTCTGGGAAATATCTCTCTCTCTCTCTCTCCATACAAGACAATTTCCCTTCAATTACTCCCCACCAAGACAAAACTACCCCTATAGTTACCCCCTTAAAGACCAATTCTCCCTGGACCCTAACAAGCCACGTGTTGTTGTGTTGTAAGCGACCAGGTAAACACCAGCTGATATACAGGTGAACACAAAACACCTTAATATTGACATTTTTATCTATTTTACACGTTTTTTCATTGATTATCACTATTTTTTATGTATATTCTCGTTAATTGACATATTTTTGAAGTTTAATGAGGTATAATTATAGGGTTGAAGTTGTGATTTTTTGGCCTAATGGTGAAATACTGATAAGGTTTTTAATCTATGTGTAATGAATATAAACTTTGAGTTATTATATCCGTGGCCCTATCGTCCTACATTCAACATCGATATATGTAAAAAAGAATAAAAAATTAAATGGTAATGGTATCATGCCAGTTCACCATACTGCCCACAGTCTTCAGCAGCTCTGGTGAAGGATGTCTAACTATCGCTGAATTAGATCTCTTTAAGTGGACACAAAACACAATTAAATGATTTCAGCGATACATTATGAACACTATTTAATAATCACTTTAAACAGTCTAATCTAAATATGTACCTGGGTGTCATTAGGTTAGGTATGGTTAGGTATGGTTAGATATGTAATGAGTGAAAAATTAGTATTTAACATTTTCAAAATTGGTACTACTAACTGTACAATATTACTACAGGTACTACAATATTACTACTCCTACTACTACTACTAATGGTTGCCCCTCATGTAACGAGGATGGCCGGCCCAAGGGCCACCTAGGTGTCAATTTGTTTAAGGTGTAGAAGCTGTCGCCAACACAACAACCACACCCTGAGTTAACGAGCTGCATGACCCAGTGTTTAAGGTGTAGAAGCTGTCACCAACACAACAACCACACCCTAAATTAACGAGCTGCATGACCCAGTGTCAAGGAATAGTCCGAGAAGACTGGACAACTCACCAACTGCACTGGCTAACCATTACCCCGGAACACGATCCACAAATCGATTAACACCCAGGTCCCCAATTACTGCTGGGTAGACAGAGGCAAATGGCGTAAAAAACTTGCCCTTACTTTCACCCTGCCCGGGAATCGAACCTGGGTCCACTAGCTTGTGAGGCGAGGATGCTGACCATTACACCACAGGTCGCCCGCTAACGAGTACATCAACTACAATCCCTAGACTGCGAGGCCTCCCATGTTAAATTTGGCATACATAAATTTGTACCCTTAGTGACTATGTATAAATGAGCCTGTACTGTTCTATACTGTCACTGTATGTATAGTTATCATGTATACTGTTTTATTCTGTCATAATGTATGTATGAATATTATGTATGCTGTTCTATACTGTTATGGTGTATGTATAAATATGTATACTGTTTTATACTGTCACGGTGTATGTGTATCATGTATACTGTCCTCTACAGTCAGTGTAACATGATGGTTGTATTATCTCGCAGGCATCATGGTAGAGAGAGGTGAAGCCAACAGCCACACATCATCTGTTATGAACCAGCTCGAAGACACGTCCCGAGAGATAAAGGAATGCTACGACAGGTCGGTCACCGTGTGTTTACGTATGTCGTGTTTTTTTTTTTTTTTAAGTTTTTCCTCCCCATAACTCTAGTCTTAATTGTTCGTCATCATCATCAACAGATACAGTATTTACCTACAAGTATATACAGGTAACCAATTAACTTTAAAAAAATATTGATTATTTTTATTTTGTTTATATACAGGGGTGTAGTCCATTAAATAGAGGTTCCATTGTATGTGTCTAAACCCCACATAAACTGCTCCCTTGCGTATCTCTCTGACACGTAGATAACTCCCACAGGCTAGACTTCATCGAAACCAAGCTGAGGCGAAGGCACTACCCCAATGAAGAGAAGAAGCGGCTGGAGAAGGAGGTGCACGACATAAAGACCCACCTGTCGAGGCACGAGAATAACCTGAGGAGCCTGCGTGGGGAGAACCGCGTGGCCATGATGTTGTCGGTCTTGATACTAGCTCTGGGGGTCATGATCTACATCGTGTACTGCATCCTGTTCACCAGCTGAGACCGTAAGGCGACGGAGTATAAACGCTTAACGTGAGGGAAGCGACCCTTTGACGGCAGCCTAAGGGGGGTGTTGTGATGACGAGGGCGGGTAGATAACATCGGCGGTGCTCTCTATTGGAAGCTAATATCAAATATATCTTTATTTTGTCATCATAAGATACTGTTTATCTTCACCACAGGCAGCTGCTCGTTGCTCTCTTCCTCGTTCCCAACTTCAGACATTTACCGTAATATTTATTAATTGTTATACTACACATTCCATCTTCCAATTAGCGAAGGTAACGAGTATTTTTTTAATATCGTGAACTGTGTGTTGTAATGTTTTAGAGGAAATACAGGAACATTACATCAGACTGTGGTTGTGATTCACATGCTAGCCTATGTACATAATTGATAAATTGTCGGGTTATGAATTTGAGACAAATTTTAGTATAATAAATAAGATATAATTGGGTATAATATAGATGGCAGGTAATGGTATATAATTCTTACAGTATAAATTCCTTGGACATATTTGGCAGTACTTTATATTGTATCTGACAAGCACAAGTGGGAGCTACTTATGTTATTAGTTAAAGATCAATATATAATTTTACTTTTAATTGAGTAAGGAAAAAATAACACCCAAAAATATATTAACTGCACAAAATGTAGATGATTTAACCCTTTAAGGACTCAAAGGGTTTAAATACCAATAGTCCAGACTCTGTGTTCTGTAAGGTAATGCCAAACTACCCAGGGTGTTTTGTAAGCAGCTGTACAAGACGTTTAGACAAGATGGTGCGGAGACAACACAACATTCCACGACGTCTCTTTAGAGTTAGATGCATTATATATCTGGTGTGGGGGCCAAGGTTGCTATGTATATACTGTACAGTTAAACCTCTATATAACAGACGTGTCTCTTCGTCAAGGGGGTTAACACATTTAACGGACCCTCGATATAATGGACTTTCTTCTCTATATAGTTTATTAGATGGAGGTTTCATATCTAACGGACCCTCGATGTAACGTACTTTCTTCCCCACGTGGTCGGGTAAATAGAGGTTCCGCTGTACCGTATCGTAGCTTCAGATTGTCGTCTCCTCTGCGCGCTCGGTCGTAGCAGAAACATACGCTTGGTTTTGGTTCACAGCCAAACGTGATCTTTCCATTACCTTGTTACTGTAGGTGTGAAATACTCAGGTTATTTGGAGTATTTCTCTTAAATTTCATTATAGTGAGGTAGTTTGTGTCGTGGTAGTGTAGTTCTGTGCCTTTAGATGTACTATACCATTTTGGTCTCGGTGTGTGGGTAGTTACAGCACCTTTGTAGAACGCGAACGACACGGTCATGACTTAAAGTACGACGGTAAGACGATTTCGCCTCGAGTTAAATGTATAAGTTTTTACAAGAGGAAAGACTCGTGTCGTCGCTCATCATGTAGAAGGTTTTCGCCCCAAGAAATAGTTTATGTAAATCAGACGGCTGTTTGGGTGTTCCTGTATATACTATCAACATTGTGGGTTAGTTAAGTATACAAGTTGTGTTATAAGGATAAAAAAGTGAAGGTTAAGAAATACATTAAATATTTTATTAAAAGTTTAACATTATTTACCCTAAGAAGACTAACATCAAAGAATACTCAGAACAAGGCACTTACTTAGTCACTTAAGAATATGCAACTCTCTACTTCCTAACAGGATTAAATAAATATCTCTCAAAGTATCAAGACATCTTCACTGTTGATTAGGTATTTTGATAAACACGGCCTCGATCACAGGGTCGAGAGCCGCAGCCGACACACTCGCGGCCCAGGATCCCCGGCACAGTCACCGATGCTTCCTAACACAAATAAAATAAATCACCTTTTCAAAAATATGTTAAACTCTGGATTATATGAAAACTTGGAACGCGTGTTGGCGTTTTCATAATGCCACGTTCGTATTCCTACGCCGTACCGTACAGTGAGTTACATACACGAGGAAACACAAGGTAAACTAAATTGATTTTCCTTAACTAAAACAACATGATGTCCAATGTCAAGACCAATTATATGAGAGGTAAGTTTCTACTATACAATCCTGTCATAGAATTAAACCCCAACTATTCTTCACAAATTTATAAAATCTGCTTCAGCACTGCCAAATGTTCCCTTCAGCGAGGGAGGGCCAAGCAAGTAAAAACAAGTCATTATATCTTTGGCACCATGCAAGGCAGCGTGTCACGAATCCTACACTTGGTTTCTCTTCTGCCACACGCACACTCACACACTCCCATGTACACACTCTCACACGCACACGTACACACTTGTAATAATTAGAAAGTATCACCGAGTCTTAATTTGATTCCTCTAAAAGTTAACATTTCTACCATAAGGTGACACAAGAGATAACATGGCAGCCACACAGTCGGAGGGAGACACACCTACTTCCACCACAGGGTCAATATACCATGTACAGTGTCAGGGAAGGTCAGTTTAACATGTAAGGTAAGGTCAGTTTAACATGTAAGGTAAGGTCAGTTTAACATGTACAGTATATGGCATCAGGTAAGGTTTGGAGGTCAACCTTGGGAAGAAACAAAGTCCAACAACTTTCTTGATCTGTTGACTCGAGGGAGAGCTAACAAGAGACAAGAAAAACAGTAGCCAAAGTTTACACCGATCAAGTGGAGGAGTACGGACCTACACCACATTGATCACCGACTCCTCTCACCTGATTCTAAAATGTTGTTAACTTCTCCTTCTCTCCACAGACAATTAACCCACACTCACATAACCTTCACCACAATGATGAACGTTCAGTGGGTCGTTTCATAATTTCCCTTCGATCGTAATATAAATGCATCACTCACTCACTCGCTTAAGCTACAGCATAATTAAAAAGATGTCATTAAAACAACATAGAGACTGTATCATGACTAGGCCCATTCCCTCATCATTACCAAAATAATAATGATCGGTGTAACTTGATGAATCTGAACAAAGTCTTACATTTAGTACCAGCAGTTTTTTTTATATCTTCCGCAAGTGAATTTTTGGTTCATTGTGTCGTCATATTAATGTTTTGTTTGTCTTTTCGAGGGTTAAAAACACATGTGTAATCTCCGGAACTTTGTGATTTTGTATAGTGTATATATTTTTTCCTCAAAACCCACATTCATGATCTTGTTTCTCTATGAACTATATGTTTTATTTTCCGATTTGAGACACGACAAAATCATACCAGTTCAACTTAAGCCGCGGCACTAAGGTAATAACTAAAATAGAATCAAGATTAATGAATAAATATTTCATAACTTCCACAGCTAAATGTAGTGTCTTGGCCCTGGTTGGGAGGAGGAGGATGAAGGTTTACATACAGAGCTTTGAGACTCAGGAATAGATCTTTGGACAAGTTGCTGGTTCCTGTTGTGTCTCCTGACCTCGGGGTATTTTCTCTTCCCAAAAATTCACTTCACTCGTAATTTTCCGGCCGAGTTTCTTGTTATATCTCTCTTCGTAATTTGTCTGTGTTCCGTCGTCCCCGGGGAGCTTGTCTCTCAAAACTTCTTGGGTAAATCTTTTATACAGATCAACTAAAATGAATAATGATAATTCTTCACACACTCGTAATAATAATTTTCCTCGTTTAACTTGTCAAAAAAAAACACTTATGACTACACAAACTTTGTCCCTTTTTTCATATATCTGGGTACACACGGCCCTCTCTCATCACGGTACAGGGGAGACAGGTGGTCACAATACAGTCACTGGTGGTCTTGTTTCCTCTCACACTACAATACCCCAACTATCATTTTTTTGGGTCCAATTATTATCATCTGATGCAAAGACTCACACGTTGGCACATAAGTTCGTGTCATCTTGCCCGATAAACCTTTAGTTAACTTCCAGCGTGAGTATACCGCCAGTTGTACGGTAATTTCTTAAATCTGTCGGTCATTTTCAAGGTTACGCGTTGTCTTTCAGAATTAGTCTTCACCGATTTCCTCGATTCTCGACCTCCTTCTGTCCCTTCGTAGATATTGTGACACTTTTAAAATAACAAACCCATCATGTTAAAAAAAAATTCAAATAAAGAAATGATCTGAAGAATGTGGCAGCGATGACGTTCCCGAACTCAATAACATCCGACGACAGACCTGATGATGCCGAGGTTTCATTCTAGGATCACAAGTCACAATACATCGCAAATAAAAGACAATACCAAGATGTCGTCTCAGATCATCACACAAGACAGTAAGTTGATCCACACGAAACATCTCACAAATATAAACTATCGAAACATATCAACAAATCATCAATAAACAACAACACCGTCAGTTATAAATGATTCTCCTATAATTTTGGCCTAGTGGGCAGTGTGGTCATTGTACCCTAAAGAACTGTACACCGATCAACATACAGTACTGTCATATATTCACTTGATAGATCTACAGTACTTAATAAACTAACCTACCATAGGACTGATCCATCATCCCAGCACACAACTTACATGCCCTTACAGTACTGTGGGTTCGGTACTTGTCTTTTAATTTACACGAGAATTCTTACGTTCTCTTTCGTGATCACATAAACCCGCACAGACCGGATGCCTGACCCCCAGACCCCACAGTATATATTACCAACAGGAGTGAGATGCTTATTATAATTCTCAACTACATTTACATGGTCACTAGACCTCTGGGGGGGGGGGCATGGAAGGACCTTGACACAATGTATACATCTGAGTCACTAACAAGTCAGGTTGGGTAATGCGGTCTTATTTACTTGTGATTCACTATAATAATAAAAAATTCTTACTAAATAAAGGACATTATGTAACGGACTCGTCACCTTAAACTCTAAATGTCTGTTGGAGGGGTACCATGAATCACACACTACAGGAGTACCATGTATTAGGCCTCTACAGAAGTACCATGTATTAGACCTCTACAGAAGTACCATGTATTAAACCTCTAGACACTCCAAACAGAACACACAGTATTCACCACAAGCTTAAAAATATCTTCTCCACAACGTATAACTCGAGCACGTAAACAACAGATCATCACCGCAAAGGAAAACAATCACCGTCCAGGATTATCACACTCGAGAGGAAGGCTGGATGGACATTAACTACAGGAGGTCAGTTGGTATATCAAAAAATCACAGGACTTAATATGACGGGTTAACTAAATCCTACACACACATGGTTGGTCTATTATCACAAACATTACTCCTCGCCGCTCGCTAATACGCTAATATAAACATACAACATCGCTTATTATAGTAATGGATGGCTATAGCGGTTCCATATTTCATTAAAAAAAAAAAAAAAACATCTGTAATAACTAAAACATATCTAGGTTCTATTATATGGGGAGAAATATATCGCTTGGAAGGCTGAGGGTCTATGGAACAAGAAAACAGTCATGCTGGAGTGTACAGTTCTTGTGGTAAATACATCCAGTCAAGTCCTGTCGTCTCTCGCAGCTTCACGAACCCTGGAGATTCAGACTCGTGAATCCGAAGCCTTTGTGGACAGAATAATGCATCGGTGTTTGCTGTTCCGGGTTCGTGAGTCTGAGTATCGGGGTTCGTGGAGGAGCAGTGAGAGGGTGACATGACTCCTGTGGCCGATGGTATACTAGATGCTATTGAGGGTCTGTCTAATGAGTATCTAAGTCTCAAAGTGGGATAATATGGGTGTGGGTGTGGGTATCCGGCGTCATCCAGTTCTGTGTGGCTTTATCCTCTCACTTACCCACCAATAAAACACCATTTACCCTCTTAAATTATTTCCGTGTGTTTTATCTGAATGAAACTTTGCGGCAGATTCTTAGGTTGAAGTATTTCTCTGTGACCTTATTATTCTTTCTAAATTAAACAGAATATTGGGAAAATCTCATAAACTGACCAAATTATTAAAAAAAAAAAGAATCATTACATAAACATCGACACAAATACCGTCTTAGATACATAAACAAACCCCCCCCCCAAAAAAAATACATCGTTCAAAAGGCAAAATATTAATAAAAGCTTAAAATTAAATAAAAAGCTCGGTAATGAATGTCAACAAATGGAACAAGACGAACGTGAAGTAGAACAAATAATTCCGGTATCTAAAACAAATACTGCCAATGAAAGTTCCTCCATATCAAAGACAAAATCACAGACTAAATAATAATTCAAAATAAAATCCAGATATAATTACCATAGAGAAATATTACAAAGAAAAACACCTATTACTGAGAAATCCACACTGGTCGTTATCCAAAGTACAGGTAGAAATGAGACACTTGGAGTCATCAATGAAGTCGACTCATCTGTTTGTGGCCATCAATGAAGACGACTCATCTGTTTGTGGCCATCAATGAAGTCGACTCATCTGTTTGTGGCCATGAATGAAGTCGACTCATCTGTTTGTGGCCATCAATGAAGACGACTCATCTCTTTGGGGCCATGAATGAAGTCGACTCATCTCTTTGGGGCCATGAATGAAGTCGACTCATCTCTTATCACTTAACAAACTTCGATAGCATTCTTATATAACATCTCTTAACGTTTGTGGAGTATAAAGAACTAATACCCTACGTCTGTGTCTGTAATGTCACCAATATTTAAGACTTCCACCTTCTGTAACCTTATAACTAATTTATTCACCGACGAAAAAAACAACTCACTATAAAACATAATCCATCGCCTAACTAAACCCTTCCTCCCTCTCCTGCCCCACAAAAATCAACAAAATATCCCATAAAAGTTCTAAATTAGGTTTGTCATTTATTAAAACCTATTCGCATAAATTAACTTCCCATTCCAAGTTTTATTCAATAGATTCCTGGGCCCTAAACTGCCTCCCCCACACTTCAAATTATCGAGCGATTTGGAGGGGACAATGAGGGAATGGAACTGCCCTTAAGAGGTATGGCTGCCCCCCCCCCCCCTCTCCCACGAGCTAACCCCCCGAGCTAACATTGAATTTCAGCTCCATGACAGACAGACAGACACGTGCTTCTACATTCATACACTGATTCATTTAACAAGTGTAGCAGTTTCTCTAAAAAATTATCAATCATAAGCTTTTTATAAACAGCTATATCATTCAGGTTTCTTATTTAAGCAAGTATATTCAAGTTTCTTCTACAATATAAACAAAAATATCATTCAGGTTTCTTATATAAACGAGAATATACACAAACAAGCGGATACACAAGACCTGATGTTAAAATAAAGACCTTTCATAAACCAACTATCTCACATAACATAGTGAGTTTAAACCTAAAGACAAATGGCCCTGAAACCAATAAAAAAACAACAAATGCAAGATCCTTTTAAAACTTACGATACCGAAATTAATCTTTTTCCAATATTTGAGTTTCTTACAAAATAGAGGCATACGTATTATAAGTCCACACCCCCATAAGAGATGTTTACAAAATAAGTCTTAGGTGTGGGCCTTCGCGACGGTACCCACACGAATAACGAGGACCCACTGTATTAATCGACGTCGGAAATCAAGGAGCATAGACCACTGATTATATATATCACCTTGAATGGGAAGCGCTTTGAAGTGACATCTTGCACGAGGTACCTCACCTACCCTCTACGTTGTGATTCTCTGTTTTCTCATGACGGCCGCTTGACCCCAATTACAGCTAACTACCACTGATGATGGCCACCGTCCCTACAGCTAACTTCCACTGATGATGGCCACCGTCCCTACAGCTAACTTCCACTGATGATGACCACCGTCCCTACAGCTAACTTCCACTGAAGATGACCACTGTCGCTACAGCTAACTTCCACTGATGATGACCACCGTCCCTACAGCTAACTACCACTGATGATGACCACCGTCCCTACAGCTAACTACCACTCATGACAGCCGTCGTTTAAGGGTTAAAACAACGTGTGACATCATGCAACCTAACCATAAACACAGCAACTCCACAACATAACCTTTTCCTCACCATCGCTGCCTGATCTCACTGGTGACATCACACACACACACACACACACACACACACACACACACACACTCTAAGCAGCACAAAAGACACATTCTTATCATATACTCCTAAGGACAAAGATCGTTTTTTGACATTAAAATCCCACGAGACTTTACACAACGCTTTATCCAGTCGAGGATAAAGTCCGACGGGGATAATGTTTACGAAGATACGTGAGATTTTAGTCAGTGTTGATGTGATATAGGAGCTGGCCGCGGGAAGAGCAGGATCTACTGTAGGTCAGGTGAGGTAAATCCCTAGTGGGTGTGTACAATAACCAGTGGCTTTAACCAATGACCTTAACTAGTGACTGACCAATGACCCTGACCTTAACCAATGATTTTAACCAATAACTTTAGCCAATGACCTTAACCAACAATCATTTACCCCAAGAGTGACATACGAGCCAATCACTAAAGACCATTACTGTGTCTGTGTACTATCCAGCCATCATCATCACCCCAAGCCAATAATTCTTTCACCGCATCAGAGAACGGACGAACAAACAGACGCAGATCTAACCCCCCTCCCTTACCACCAGCGTTTCATTAAGGTCGGTAACAACAAACGTTTACCGCATTATAAAACGGGCTAAAGGCAGACGCAGCTTCATCGCCCTAAACGCAGCTTCAGCGCCCTAACTAACCCCAATACAAACTAACTCTTCGGCGATGGTAAATACTGTAAGACAAAACTCTGGGTTGGATTACGTAATGAAGCGCAAGGGAGGAAATTATCTATAAATGCATACCCTGATACCCTATAATAGTCTCTCCTTAAGTCTACAACACTGATGGAGACGACTTGACACCACACATCGAGACGTCTTAAACCACACATTAAGACGTCTTAACACCACACACCGAGACGTCTTAACACCACACACTGAGACGTCTTAACACACATCCACCCATGAGACAGAAGCTAACGAGTGATTGGTTAAGAGGACCAGCCTACAGACCAATGAGGGATCGTGCACTACGGCAGGCGAGGAAGAGGGAGATATTACGGACACTACGACACTTCTCACAGATCTTGACCAATGGGACGGAGCCGCTCAAGGTACGTTAGTTATTTGTATAAGACTATCTAGTGCCGTCCTACATCTAAGGTCAATGCTACGGCATAAATATCAGGAACGAGAAGAGGATCATCGCTACCTACGTATTATGGGAGTCCCTCTAGTAGAAAATACACAAAAACAAAAAAATAAATAATCAGATTAATATCATTTGCAACGAACATGAGCAAATATCTGTCTAGGGGAAGAACTCTTGGCCAACGTATCCAGATTGTGTTTGTTTTACGTACACGACAACACAAGAGGCGGATGACAATACAAGGGGCGGATAATCCAACTCTTTAAGACAGACAGGAGGTGAACGTAATAGAGTGTGAGACGCCATTTCAACTCGTCTCAACTTCCAAATAAAATGAGACGTTCTTTGTAAAACCCAAAGCCCCAGAAAACATAAATCCTTTACCTTAACATCTACATAAGTTTGTTTTCAAGGGATTTAATATTTCCCACTTATGATAACCTTGTAAAGTACTTAGTCTTCTGCACGATGACCCGTAGCCACATGTTGACATTCTCGTCTTTATGTCCATTAACTCTCTGTGGTGCGGGAGGAAAAAATTCTCGAATGAAATGTTGTTGTCGACGGCTGTTGAGTTTAAAGTTTGTTTATCCGGTGTATTTTGCCGCAGGAGTCGGGTTAATAATGATTTTTCTAACTGACTGCATAACATAATCGCTGGCCTTCTGTACCCTAACCCCCTACCTGGCTAAAAGAAGTACATCACCTCCCGTCGTGCAATTATTCAACAGCCAACGCAGCCAATCAATGTGTTGACAGTCAACCTCGTTATCTGGTCACTAAAAACAAATTTATGATCGTTATTTAACATTCAACGAGGCCGAGAGCAACACATCGTGCCTTCAACATACACGCAGACATTTCACCTGTGCTTATCGCTTCACTCAATGTAAAGTTTTAAAGATATTATTCATCAATTTTAACTATGATCTTAATGTAAGTGTTTCCCATCGACAGTTTCTTGGGAACCTTTTTAGTTAGTTTAATGTGTTACATAAACTACCAGTACTGTATAGTTAGTTCACTACCAGTATAGTTAGTTTAGGGTGTTGTGTAAACTCTTCAAACTACCAGTACAGTTACTTTAGGGTGATGTGTAAACTGTTCAAACTACCATTACTGTACAGGTAGTTAAGCATACAATAAACTACTACAGCTAGTTGAGGGAGGGCAGGTGTACTGTACTGTATGTGTACACTAAAAACTCAACACACTCCTCCTCTCTTCTCTCACAGGTTGTAAATCAAGAAAAACAAATAAGCCAACTCTACCACGAATACATAAACAAATTAAACCCAAACTTCCGAATTACAAAAACAAGTAGCTCGTGATAAATGCCTTCTGACACGGTAGCGAAGAAATGCAACAGACGACTGATGGATCAACCCCTACACGGCGTCAACTTAGGGAGCGCGGCCACGAATCCAAGCATTGTACCGGCCGTCTCCTCGTTTCTCATTCAAAAAAATCAACCAATGGGGTACCGTCTTGCCCGAGCAGGTGGGAGAGAGAGAGGGGGTGCTAGAGTATCTCGGGCTCGGAGAAACACACGACGCCCGGGTGGAGAACGAGCGGCTGAGCGGTCCTCTTGAATACCTACGGGAGAGGAAGAAAGATTTAAACGTAATTTTATTCTGTTACGATGAATCCAACTTGGAATTTCTTATTTAAATGCCCAAGGATTTATTTTTCTTTCTGTAAAAATAAAATAAAACCACAAATTTGTTCCCTTATTTACACAAAACCAAACAAAAACTGTACATAAAATATTCCCTAATTACATAAAACTAAAGCTAACCTAACCAAACCCTAACCAATCATAACCTGGCCTCTAACCAAACCCTAACCAATCATAACCCGGCCTCACCTCGTCCAGGAAGTGAGCCAAGACCTGATAATACCCGGGGCACTTCCAGGTTTCGTTGTGTGAGCCCTGCGTGAACTGCATGAGGCGCTTGGCCGGCGACGCACAGCAGTGGTACAGTTCCATCATCATGCGAGGCGGCACTAGGGAGTCAGCCTGGCCCGAGAGGAACAGCGTTGGCACTACCACTCGGCACATTTTGTATTTTGACAGGTACTAGGGGGGGGGGGGAAGAGAGACAGGTTAGGTTAAGCATATTCTTGGCACCTTTTTCATATAGACAGGTAGGTGAAAAAGACAGTATAAATTAGGTATATTCTTGGTATATTTTGTATTTAGACAGTTACTAGAGACAGTATAAAATAGGTATATTCTTGGTATGATGAAGAAACATAACAAAGATATATCTAACCTGTAGCCGAGTAACATGAGATAATGATGATGATGATGATAATGATGATGATGATGATGATGATGATGATGATGATGATGATGATGATGATGATGATGACGATAGTAACAACAACAACAAAACACTAACCCCCACCCACACACACATCGTACCTTATTCTTGTGGCACCAGTGAGGTAACTTGGCAAGGACTTTGACCCCAGAGAAGAGGACCTTAGCCATATCGGGTATAGACGTAAAGGTATTCTCGAGCACGATGCCCGCCACTCTGCTGCTGATCTCTGTCCGGCTCACGCAGTCCACCGCCACCGCCCCGCCTGAGGAAGTCGACTACAATTTTAGTATTTTTTTTTTTAGTTAACGTCAGATTTTTTTAATGCCAGAGGGGACCCCATACATAAGGGGTTAGTACACCTATCTCTATTAAACCCACCCATAGAAAATTGACCCTATTCAAATGACCTTCAACGACCCCTATACAAAACAAACTTCTACCTAACGACCTCCCATACAAAATGACCGTCACCTAACGATCAACAACAACCCCCCCCACCCCATATACAAAAATCCTCCTCACCTAACGATCTTCCAAACACAATTATTTTATTCTGGTCGATATCTGATCTTGTCTTGAGGTAGGATATAGCGGCCTGAGCGTCGAGGTACAGTCCCTCTTCTGATGGGGAGCCCTCACTCAGACCGTAGCCGCGGTACTCGAGGAGCAGTAAGTTGATCCCTAGCCATCGGTACATGCCGTATACATTGCTTAACCTGGGAAAAAACAATTAAAAAAAATAATAAACCACAATAAAACAATATAAATAAACCACACTAAAACAAAATAAAATATACAATTAAAACAAATACCAGGTAAATAAACCATAATTAAAACACACACAAAAAATTCCATACCCGTTCCCCTTCTTAACACAGTAACAGGGTCTTTAAATTTTAATCATTTCTCTCATTCATGTAATTCTTTCTCATCTTAAAACCTTCCATTTATTAACTTTTTTTTACCCTTATTCATTCAATCTTTCCTTTCATTCCTCTATTTCCCTTTCATCTTATATCTTCTATTATCCATTTATTTTATCCTTATTTATACCAGTTCTTTTTCTTGACCTTTTTTCTATTCTCTTCTCCGACAATTTCTTCCGCTACAGTAAATCAATCTGTCGTCCCTTACCTATAGCCTTACAATACCTCACCTATAGCCTTAAAATACCTCACCTATGGCCCAAGTTCCCCGCGTTGCCATGGAAATACACAAAAGTTGGGGCAGATTTCACGGCCAAGGAATCCTGCTTGACGAACACAGCGTGAAGTTTGGTCCCGTCGCGGGCGTACAAAAACAGGTTCTCCGAGGGCAGGCCGATGGAGGAAGGCGGCTGAACCAGGACGCGGGAGTCTGGCGGGAAGTTGGGCCAGTAGACGAGCAGGTCGCTGATCTGGTATACGACTCCTATGGGGGTCATGGAGGAAAGTTTAGTGTGTGACCCTCTTAGGTGGGGGAAGATTGTGGGGTGTTGTGGGAGTGTGGGGTGTTGTGGAAGGGTTGGTGAAGTGGGAGGGTTGTGGTGAAATATGGGAATGCACAAGAGAGAGTAACAACAACAGGAAAGAGCTCAGATAACAACGACAAAAAAACCCACATGAACACAACACCAACATCCAAAACAAAAATAGATTATTGTTATGTATAATACAGTAGAGAGAGAGATAGAGAGAGAGAGAGAGATAATAAAAAAGTAAAAAAAAAAAAAAGTGTGTTAAATCATTGGTGCCTAAAACATAATGTGTGGATGACGGCAACAGCTAACACGGAATAATTTATAACATTGTAAAAGTAAGAGTAAATTTAATTAACAATGAAAGGAAGACAAAAAAACCATGTGTGATTCCTCTCAGTTCTGTCATCACACACCACGACCTGGCCAACACCTGCAGTCTCACTACACAGGTATATTAATCTGTCTATCAATGAACCCTTTGTCACTGTCCACTACCTGACTGGAGTTACTGATATATAAAGTTGAAACTATATCACACAGTAATCATGGTTAAAAGTTAATACTATTCAACCATTTCAAGGATTAATTATCATCTAAATAAGGGATAATTTTTTTACCTGAGAAGGCAAAGAGGAGGAGGACAAAGGCGAGGAGGCCGCCATACAGCCAGAAGAGGACAAATATCAAGATGATGACCGCCCCAGAGGTCAACCAGAACTTCCTCATCACCGTCAACACCAGACCCGCAACGAACTTGATCACGGCAAAGTCCGCCTTCTGCTTCGGGGTCATGTCGTCCTCGCAGTCGTGGTGGTGATGGTGGTGGTGGCAGACTCTCGGCCGCGGCGGCGGGTTGGGCGGCAGGCACGACTGCCCGCTCTCTACGTCGCTGGACGCCATGACGGTCGGCCTCACCATCTACGACCGTGGGGTGTTCCTCGCTCCGGCGTGAAGGACGGTAAGCTTCACGAGACGGACAACTTGCTCGCTGTCATAATCTTATCTCTTAATATTGTTGCCTTTAATAAAGTTTCTCCCTAAAGTATAACAAGGTTGACCTTGTCTCAAGACTGTTTCCATCACAATCACTTATAATAATGTTCTTGTGGTGAAGATCTTCTCCCAGCCTCTCGCTGCTTCCATCGCTGAAAAACAAAAATGACTCAGTTAGGATGTCCAATTAAATGTGTTTATTAATCTATGACCCTTACTGCTCTCTACCTCTTGTGTGGGCTGTAGCACCAAGAGGTTATTGATCTTTGACCCTTTAGGCCTCGACCACACGAATATTTTATTCACACATGACAGAAATCAACAGACTCAATGGACGTCTGTATGAAAGGTCCAATTAAACTCCATTGATTTCTAAGTCACGGGACAAATAAAACACCCATGTGGAAGAGGTCGTAGAGCCAGATAACACAACCCTGTACAGTACCTCCTACAACACCAAGTAGAGCCCCAGAGGATGTACCTGGTAGCTACAGTATATAAAGTCCTTGTGAAATACAGCTGTGTCTAACCTAACCCAAACACCCACTAAAACAAGAATCAGTTTCTTCCGCCATAGATTAAATAAAGTAGTTTTTTTATATAGTATTAGGGTTTAGTTAGGTTGGGAAAGGTTAGGTTAGATTAGGTTAGGTGACAGTTGGTTAGCTTAGGTTTCAAATGGTTAGTTTGGTATTTAATTAGTGTTAACCCCAAATTAGGGTCATATTGGTCCAAATAGCGATGACAAACATAAGAAAAACCTCTTTATACAATGACATAAAACCTTTAACCTAACCTAACCTTATGCTGCTTTAACCTAACCTAACTTATCACAACTTTAACCTAACCTAACTTAACCTTACCTAACACAACTTTAACCTAACCTAACTTAACAACTTTAAACCAACTTAACCTAACCTAACTTAACCAAACCCATGTTAATGTTTTTTCTCAATATTACTAGCTCTTCCTTCTTCTTCTTCCTCCTATTATCGTTATCTCTTCCTCCTCCTCCCCATCATTTATCAACTCTATTCTCCTTTCCAACTCTTCTTCTTCCTCTTTCTCCCCATCATCATCTCTTCCTCCTCCTCCCCATCATCACCCTCCTCATCCTCCTCCTCCCCATCATCACCTCCTCCTCCCCATCATCATCTCTCCTCCTCCTCCCATCATCACCCTCCTCCTCCTCCTCCTCCTCCCCATCATCACCTCTCCTCCTCCTCCTCCTCCTCCCCATCATCACCCTCTCCTCTTCCTCCTCCTCCTCCTCCCCATCATCCTCTCCTCCTCCCCCATCATCACCTCTCTCCTCCCATCATCACTCCTCCTCCTCCTCCCCCATCATCACCCTCTCCCTCCTCCCCATCATCACCCCTCTCCCTCCTCCCCATCATCACCCCTCCTCTTCCTCCTCCCCTCCTCCTCCCCATCATCACCCTCCTCCTCCTCCCCATCATCACCCTCTCCTCCTCCCCATCATCACCCTCCTCCTCCCCATCCTCTCTCCTCTCCTCCTCCTCCTCCTCCTCCCCATCATCACCCTCCTCCTCCCCCATCATCACTCCTCATCACTCCCTCCTCCTCCCCATCATCACCCTCCTCCTCCCCATCATCACCCTCTCCTCCTCCCCCCATCATCACCCTCTCCTCCTCCCCATCATCACCCTCTCCTCCTCCCCCATCACCATCATCACCTCTCCTCCTCCTCCCCATCATCACCCCTCTCCTCCTCCCATCATCACCCTCTCCTCCTCCCCCATCACTCCTCCTCCCTCCCCATCTCCTCCTCCTCCCTCATCTCACCCTCTCCTCCCTCCCCATCATCACCCTCTCTCTTCCTCCTCCTCCTCCCCCATCATCCCCTCTCCTCCTCCCCATCATCACCCTCTCCTCCTCCCATCATCCCCATCTCCATCCTCCTCCTCCCATCTCACCCCTCTCCTCCTCCCCATCATCACCCTCTCCTCCTCCCTCACCTCTCCACACTCACCAACACCACCAGGATAAACCTCCTCCACACACACTCCTCACCCTTCCACCTTCTTCTCTACCCCTAATCAGGAGGTGAGACCCAGATGAGAGATAATAAGGTAATATCTATCTAGTTGTCTCTCACTCTGTTAATCAGGAGGTGAGAGACCCAGGTGAGAGATAATAAGGTAATATCTGGTCTAGTTGTCTCTCACTCTTGTCTCCTCACGGCCAGATACTCTGTTTTGTTTTGATCAGATGACGCAATAGATACCTAAACCTCTATAAACTCCTCAACGATATAAACAAAAGAACATCGGTATCTCTTAATCAAGTTATCTATAATTATTTAATCCTTTTATCCTAATGTTCTTAATCCTATAATATAATATAATCGTATTTATGTATCTTTATATTTTATTACTTATAGCTTACGTAGTGATGGTGATTTAAAATGAATTATTTGTTAGGTTTTTAAATAATGATTAAATAGATGGATTAATGGGATTATATTAGGATTATTATGTGATTTATTTAAGTTATTGGATTATTTAGTGTTAGTATTTGATATAGGTTAGTAGTTATTGATATTAAATGGTTTATTATTTTTTATTTTTTATTTTATTGAAGTTAAATTATTTTGTTTGTCACGGAATTTATTGTAGTATCCTATTTTAATCTTTGTTTTCTTCTATTTATACTTTCATCCAATTCCCCGTTTTTTCTCTTGTTTATTGTTTTAGTATCTTGTTAATGCATTTTATCTTTTGGGTATATTCTTCTTTCCTTCTCATTATTGTCTGTTTCTCTTCTCTGCCTGTCTGTGTGTGTGTGTGTCTCACTAACCCTCTCTTTAATCTTCTCTCTCTCACTCACTCCCCCACTCTCTCACCCCGCCTCTCTCTCATTCTCTCACCCCCTCTCTCTCCCAACCTCCCTCTCTCTCTCTCAGCCTCCCTCTCTCTCTCAGCCTCCCTCTCTCTCACTAACCCTCCCTCTCTCTCACTAACCCTCCCTCTCTCTCCCAACCTCCCTCTCTCTCACTAACCCTTCCTCTCTCTCTCAACCCCTCCTCTCTCTCCCAGCCTCCTCTCTCTCTATATTTCCTCTCATTCTCTGCCCCCTCTCTCTCCCCAACCTCCCCTCTCAGCCTCCCTCTCTCTCCTAACCCTCCCCTCTCTCCCAACCTCCCTCCTCTCTCTCTCAGCCTCCCCTCCTCTCTCCACTCCACCCTTCCTCTCTCTCCTCTCTCTCTCAGCCTCCCCTCTCTCTCACTAACCCTCCCCTCTCTCTCACTCACCCTTCCTCTCTCTCTCTCACTCTTATTCCTCTCTCTCTCTCTCTCTCTCTCTATACCTCTCTCTCTCTCGGCCTCCATTAAACTTTACTTCGGATCAAACTCGTGGACAAATTAAAAAGTGCGAAATGATTTTTAAACCATAGTGAAGAGACTTATTAAGGCTTATTATTATTATTATTATTGTTGTCGTTGTTGTTGTTGTTGCTGTTGTTGTTGTTGTTGTTGTTGTCGTTGTTGTTGTTGTTGTTGTTGTTGGTGTTGTTGTTGTTGTTGTTGTTGTTGTTGTTGTCGTTGTTGTTGTTGTTGTTGTTGTTATTGTTGTTGTTAGTGGTATTAGTATCGTTATTATTATTGTTGTTATTATTACAAGTAACAAAGGCACTTTTTACGATATCTAAACTTTACTTAAATGGCAGAAAGAATCATAACTTACATACTTACAAGGAAGAAAGTAAACACTATTTAGAAAACTATAAAAAAGTGGTTTATTGCACTTGGATATAAAGTCACATAAGTGGGTTACTTAACACTAGGGTGGTATAAGTACTGTAAGTATACTGGCTACAGTTCAAGTCGTAAGTTAAGTTTTCCTGGTGAACGTATGGAACTGACTCACTTAAGCTGTCATCATGGCGTCCAAATTAAACTGAGACTCTACCTTGACTATAAATACGATCTATTATACTGAGGAAAAATTAACTTACGATATATTGAGAATAATAACCTCAGCCTTAGATACTATTATTAAACAGCCTTGAAAACAATTTCAAATTATAGTCATATAAACCTACTGTTATAGGTCGCTATATTAACTATTATATATTAGTATAAAAGAAATTTCAGAGTTAATTGTATATTTAGTGTTAAAGGGAAGGAAAACTCTTAATATAACGCTACAGGTTAGTTATAAAATCAATGGTTAATTTTCCTCTCTACTATTATGTTAGGAATATGTATATAGGCCTACTGGTAGACTATATAGGCCTACTGGTAGACTATATAGGCTTACTGGTATACTATATAGGCCCACTGGTATACTATATAGGCCTACTGGTATATATAGGCCTACTGAGGCCTACTGGTAGACTATTATATAGCCTACTGGTATACTATATAGGCCTACTGGTATACTATATAGGCCTACTGGTATACTATATAGGCCTACTGGTAGACTATATAGGCCACTGGCATACTATATATAGGCTCATCGTTACTATATAGGCCTACTGGTGACCATATAGGCTCACTGCAGACTATACAGGCTACTGGCAGACTATATAGGCTCATGGTAGACTATATAGGCCTACTGGTAGACTATATAGGCCTACTGGTAGACTATATAGGCCTACTGGTAGACTATATAGGCCTACTGGTATACTATATAGGCCTACTGGTATACTATATAGGCCTACTGGTAGACTGGTGTGTTACTCTGGGTCACACACACACACACACACACACACATTTCCAACAGTAAAACATAATATCAATACACAAAGCTTACCCTGGGTTCAAAATAAGCCGGAAAACTAATACATACATACATACATACATACATACATACATACATACATACATACATACATCATACCTGGGTCACCTTACTAATCTACAATATTTTACACACTGTTAATTTTTCGGTCATAATTAACGATACCAATAACAGGATTGTAATAATTGACAAGACACTTGATATATAATTTTTAACCAGGTTTAACCACACAAACATTTTAACTTCACGGTAAACAGTGATGTAATTTTAATATAAATAAATGATAAAAATTCAGAATAATTAACATAGCGTAGAATAACATAATCCATATCTTAATTCCTATTGGTCGTGGGTGTAGTTAAACTCATGCTTCCTATTGGCTAATATACGTCATCAGATAACATACACTCGACTGTTAAAACAAATTAAAATAAAATCTGTTTAACGAAAGACACAAATAAAAACGAAATTCATGAAAAAATATAATTAAAACAGAATTGGTGATAATAAAAATGTCTTCTCTGTGTAATGTTATAATATACCACATATATATATCACTTACCTGCAAAATATGTATAAAACTCTATATCTATATGGCTGTGTACAGTTTGGTAATATATTATATATCTCTATCGTGTTATAATATATTCATGCTTATCGTTCTATCTATAATGTGGTATGTTTAATTCTAGGTATGATATATATATTAGAGTTATATTAGTGATATGTATATAGTGCTATCATGGTAACACTGCAGGGATTATATTATTGGTTATCTATAGGGTAAGTGTGATTAGTTTTCCTCCTAACTGGTGATGTGAGAACGTATCTAACTAACTCACTTAACCTACCACACAAAGATGGATTCTAGTAACTTCGTATCCTATATTTTCCTCTTAACTTATCATAGCAAATAAATGTGTGTTAGTCTTTTACTGGTAGATTAAATTCCTCAGTTCATTAAAATATGGAAATAATTAAGACACAAACCTTGGACAAACTGGACCCTGATTGGTGGATGTAAAGTATTCGTTGAGTAAACTGAGGTTGTGATTGGATGAGAGACCTTATTGCTATCACAGTGTCTATTATGGCGGCAACACCTGACATATTCCTCTCTAAAGAAATATATTTATCCTTTAAACTTCCAAATATTGTCATTATACACATTCTGTCTCTGTATACCACATGTAAACATACCACTCAGTGAGCATATATTGTGGTTGTTGGTGTTGGAGATAACATTCACGACGGGTCAGAGAAGGTTGAGGTTAACTTGACTTTATCAGCGGCGGCGTCGTTGGTAGTTGTCTTGGAGGTGGAGGAGGACCTGGTCTTGCCTGATCCTTGTCGAACATAGTCGTGAGGGAACCGAGGACGACCAGCGGCAGCAGCTACGGGATCCTTCCGAGGAACATCACTCTTAAACGAGGAACTTGCTCTCAGAGTCGCCTGTCTCTGGCGTGTAGGACTGTCGCAGGAGGGAGAAGAGTCCTGTGGGAGGGCGTTGCTCTTGAAGGAGGAGCTGGTTCTGAGGGGGACGTTCTTCTGGCGTGTAGAGTTAGTGGAGGAGCAGGTCGGGTCCTCCTGACTGCCGCCACTCCTGAAGGAACTGCTCCTGAGTGAGGCAGTCCTCTGGCGTGATGGACTGGCACAGGCTGGGGAGAGGTCCTGAAGGGGAGCATCCTGCGGGGTTGAGAGGTTGGTCTGAGAGGTACAGGTGGTGCTGTGGGCGTGGCAGCGGTGAGGGTGAAGCTGTTGGCCTCTGTTGTTGTTAGGTGGTGAGGAGCCCTGTGTTGTGTTGTACTCCTGTGCCAGGCTGCTGTGAGGTGTGTTGTCACCGTCAGGATGCTGCACCGTGCTGTACTGGGGAGATATACTGTTCTGATGCTGTGTTGTACCGTATCCTGCCGACACAGCACCGTGCTGTGAGGCGGGACACACAACGTCGTGTCTCTGAGTGTCGCGCCGGAGAGGACCGTGGAAACTGCTGCGTCGAAGGTGTTGGTGAAGGTGGTGAGGGTCAGCCATGTCTTGGTGACCTTGACAGACGGTAATACTGTGGTAGTCGTCCTCACTACTCTTCAGGTGACACTGTTGACAACAGTCGCCTCCCTGGCGCTGGGGGGCGGGGGTGGCGCACTGGTGTCCTGTACTCTGAGGGTTGTAGGGGACGGGGGTTCGTGAGGCCCTCGGGCGCTGTAGGGTGGCAAACTGGGATGGGTTTGATCGACGGCTACGAGGACCCAGCGTCGAGTACCCCATAGGTGCTCCTGAGGAAGGAATGACGTCACTTTATTCTTGTTTTACTCATCAATAATAATAAGCCTCTGTCTGGGGTCTATTAGTACTGGGCCATAATCATAATACTTAAGTCTGATGACATTAAATAAAATTTGTACCCAATCTAAGTCACAACCAGAGCCAGGGAGGGCCACTTAATTAACTCACCTGGGAGGACCAATTAATTAACTCACCTGGGAGAGCCACTTAATTAACTCACCAGGAAGGGCCACTTAATTAACTTACCTAGGAGGGCCACTTAATTAACTCACCTGGGAGGGCCACTTAATTAACTTACCTAGGAGGGCCACTTAATTAACTCACCTGGGAGGACCAATTAATTAACTCACCTGGGAGAGCCACTTAATTAACTCACCAGGAAGGGCCACTTAATTAACTTACCTAGGAGGGCCACTTAATTAACTCACCTGGGAGGGCCACTTAATTAACTTACCTAGGAGGGCCACTTAATTAACTCACCTGGGAGGATCACTTAATTAACTCACCTGGGGAGAAGGATGACTGGGAGCACCTGGCGTCATAGTACTCAGAGCTGAGGCTGTACAGGGAGGACGGGTTTAAGCTGCTGTAGGTTGGGGGTCCCGCTGGCTGCTGCTGCTGCTGTTTTTGCTGCTGCTGCTTCGTTTGCTGTTCCTGTTGGGGGTATGGGCGGCCCACAGCACCTGGGTAAAGCGGCTGTGATCGTGTGGCAGGATGGTGTGGGCATCCTGGAGGTGGTAGAGGGCGGACATACCCCTGGGAGTAAGTCCGGGAATGGGTACTCTGGTAGGAGGACAGAGAGACCTGGTCGTCGGCTGGGAGGGAACCTGAATCACGCCTCTTGTGGTGGCTGACGGAGGCATGAGTGTCGTAGGTGCTGGAGGTCAGGGAACACACCTCAGGGTTGGTCGGGGGGTGAACGTGACCCTGAGGAGCTGGGACCATCCTAGCGTTCAGGGGCGTCGTGGTTGGAGAGGACCCTCCGCCGCCGTTCACACACGCTGCTGGGGAGGTCACTGAGGGCACCCCGCCGTTCTGCCTCAGTGTCCCTCCACCGTTGTCGTTCTCCACGTTCAGGTTACCACTGGCGTTCCTCACAATCACTCCGCCGTTCTGAGAGGAGGAGCCGTTGCTGTTCTTCCTACTTACGCCGCCGTTCTGTAGCCGGGTGACGCCAGGACGACCCTCTCTGTTGGACACTCCCGAGTCAGACCTTCCTCGCCTCTCCACACTCGTCAGCTGATCCTCCTGAAGGTAAACAAACAATAGGGTCGCTTATACACCGTTGTCGAGCCTTCTAAACGTAAACAAAAGATGGAAGAGTCATTTATGATCCTCCATTGACCAAAACAAATGATTCTTGTCCTCACACTTCAGGTGGTAAGAGGAAGTATCTGACATAAACTTGACGGTAAATATGGCGTCGAAAGTGTACTGAGACTCTACTGTAACTATATAAATACGGTTTGTGTTAGAGAAAGAGAGAGAGAGAGTGTGTTGGAGAAAGTGTTGAAGTACTAACTTTATAAGAGGCGACAGTGTTGGAGGTCCTGGTGTTGTTGGTGGCGGTGTTGAGGGAGAGAAGGACCTCTGGGTGATGGTGGTGACCGGGGGTGGAGACCGGGGTGTTGCAGTAAGTCTCAAGGGCCACTGTCTTATGAGAGGACGACCCTGTGTGTGAGGGAGACAAGATGAGTCGTTATTATTATTATTATCATTACTATTACTACTCCTACTACTACTACTACCACCACTACTACAACACACGAATCATTTATCAATCTCTATGACTCCTGAATCACTCGTGGCTCACCAGTAACCCCTTACCTGACGTGTGTCGAGCTAGGGATCTCCTCCTGACGAAGCAGGCGATGATGACCACGTTAAGCACCAGAAGGGCAGCACCAGTTAGTGTCATGATCACCAGAATCAGTCGAGGGATACGCCACCTACTGCTACTACTGCTGCTGCTGCCTGACGCTCCTGCTGGGGATATAAGAACGTGTGGTTAGTAAGGCTGTAGAGGGTTCTACTATTACTACTATTATTACTACTACTACTACAATCACTATAACTACTAGGAACAGATAATAACCTTACCTAATAGCGTCACTAGGAGAGGTGGAGTGAGGTAATGTGAGCGGCCTTGATCGTTGGACGCTTGTATACTGAAGAAGTAGTCCACACCCGCTCTTAACCCACCTAAGGTAGTCCCGGCTGTGTTGCCTCCTGATATATCGATCAGCTGACGGAGATAGTGAGACATGAAGAGACAGTGAGAGATGAGAGACAGTAAGAGATGAGAGAGATATATAGTTGATGATAGATAAACACCTGGGGTACGTACCTGGTATTCAAGGGTACCTGCTGGACGGTACCTCAGGGTGTAGCCACGAGGAAGACCAGCTTGGAAGTTGGGTGTCCACGAGAGAGATACTGTGGCCTCTGTAACATTTGTAACCTGTGGGGGAGAGAGGGGTAAGAGGGGTGAGAGGGGGGAGGGGGGATAGGAAAGAGAGGGAAAGGGGGGGAGGGAGAGGGAGAGAGGGAGTATATCCACAATTAGCAAAGAAATTTTATATATAAATTGACTCAAAATTATATCCACACCCACATCCGCACCCACTGTAAATCCACACCCACCCATTTATACCCTACTTACGGTGAAATTTGATGGCGGATGTGGGCGTGCGGGTGGGTTGAGGGTGAGATGGGCGGTGTCTGAGCCGAGGGCGTTAGTGGCGCTGCAGACATATGTGGTATAATCGTTTCTCTCAACCTTCCTCACCTCCAAGACACCCGCCCATAACACCAGTCCGTCTACCAGCTGTGAGGGAGAGAGATTATTCCATTGATCGTCTTAATAGATCCACTGACATAACAGACAGACAGACAGACAGAAAAAAGACAGACAGACAGACAGACAGACATAAAAAAGACAGACAGACAGACGTACCTGAGGCTCAAGCATATAATACTTCTCACTGTCCAGGATCTCAACCCCGTCCTGAGTGGCCCAGGAGAAGGTAGGGGCGGGGGCGGCTCTCACACGACACACCAGCCGCCCATCACCGCCCACTGCCGCCCACGTGCCACCCGCCCCGGCGACCTCCGCGGCTACCGTCGGCGCTTCTGTGTTGTGGGGACGAGATAGTTACGTTAGACAGATTTGGACAGATTTAGAAGGATTTGGGCAGATTTAGACAGATTTAGAGGGATTTAGACAGTTTTAGAAGGATTTAGATATATTTAGAAGGATTTAGACAGATTTAGAAGGATTAAGAATACATATATGAGGGATTATATAGATTTTGAAGGATTTAGAATGATTTAGATATATTTAGACTTTTTAGACGGATTTAGACAGATTTAGAGGGATTTAGAGGAATTTAGACAGGTTTATAATGATTTAGACAGGTTTATAATGATTTAGACAGGTTTATAATGATTTAGACAGATTTCTTACGTGTGACTATTATACTGGTTACGACGGGAGGTGCCGAAGAGACGAGGTTGGAGGCGTGACAGAGATATACGCCCGTATCCGTCCACGAGGCCGACTCTAACACCAGCCTGGCCACGCCCACGCCCGAGCTGATAGTCTGGGTCGTGCTGGAGGAAGAGAGAGATAACTGAGAGATAACTGAGAGACAACTGAGAGATAACTGAGATCCTGGTTCATGTGAGAGTTTAAGATGGGTTGTGGGCGGGATTTACCTATTGTGTGGGTGGTAGGATGTGGGTTGTGGGCAGGACTCACCTGTTGTGGGAGTCTCTGGTCCAGGTGAGTGTGGGGGTGGGGTTGGCATGGGCAGAACACTCGACAGTCGCCGCCCCCCTCTCACCCACAGTCACTCTCTCTGCTGACTGTACGTTCTCTGGTCCGTCTGTGGGCAGGACAGGTGTATTGACAGGTGCAGGACAGGTAATGACAGGTGTTGGCAGGTAATGACAGGTGTTGGCAGGTAATGACAGGTGTTGGCATGTTATGACAGTTTAACCTGAAGAGTATTAAAGAAAACGGGAATGAATTTGTTTTAGTTTGGCCTTAAAATTACCATAAAAAAACGGGTTTATGTTTATTTTAGCCTACCCTTAAAGGCATCATAGAAAACGGGAATGAATTTGTTATAGTTTAGCCTTAAAAGTATCAAAGAAAATGGGTTATTATTAGACTATTTATGACATTTTGCCGCAGTTCATCCCTGGTTAACGCAACACAACACAACAGGGAAACTCACACTGTACGTTGAGGTGAAAGGAGGCGTTGACAGCTCCCCTTGGGTTATAACCATTAACCGTATAGTTTCCTGTTGACTTCCTGGAGATCCTGCCAAGTCTTAACTCTCCTGCCGTAGCCTCCAAGGTCTCCTCCCCTCGTCTCCACCAGTACCTGAAGATGTAGTTACTGTAATTCAATGGTGTTTTATCCTGTTCTCTCTCTCTCTCATTCACTCAATCTCTCTCTTTTTCTCACCCACTCTCTCCCTCCATCTCTCACACCCCCCTCTTTCCTTCCCTCCCCCCTTCCCTCACTTCACCCTCACCTCAACCACACCTCACCCTCACTTCGCCCTCACCTCACCCTCACCTCAATGGGCCCGGGTTAGCGTCAGCAGAGGCAGTCACCACCAACTCGGCTCCCTCATACACGTCCAGCTGCTCTGGCGGCCTCACTACCCACACTGGCGAGTCTGTCAGTGAATAGAGGTCACGAGAGGTCAAGAGAGGTCACGAGAGGTTACTAAAAGACAAAGATTAATGGTACAGGTCAGCAAGTCAAGAGGTCAGCTTCAAGCCTACACGTCAGCTACAGAGCTACAGGTCAGCAAATCTACAGATCAGCTACAGGTCAACTACAGGTCTACAGGTCGTCTACAGGTCAGCGACAGGTCTACAGATCAGCTACAGGTCTACAGGTCGTCTACAGGTCAGCGACAGGTCTACAGATCAGCTACAGGTCAGCTACAGGTCCAGAGATACTCACGCAGGACATTAAGAACCAATTTAGTCTTGACAGCGACGCCTAGACTATTCTCTGCCCACACTGGAAACCCGGCTATTGTCTCTGCTGTAGTCATCAGGTGTGCTCTGACCTGTGTGGGCGGGAGGGGTGCGAGGGCGGTGGTGGTGGGGATAAAAGCAGTGGGTGTTGGGTACAGGGTGGGGGTGGGGTGTTATGGCGGGGTTGGGGTAAGCAGGGGTGGGGGGTGTTAGTGGTGGGGGCTGGGTGTTGCGGGTGGGGGTGGGTGCTAGTGGGTGGAAGGTGTTGCGGGAAGGCGTTAGCTGGCGGGGTTGGGCAGTTGTGTGGGTGGGGGCTGGGTGTTAGTAGGTGAGGGTGGGTGTTAGTAGGTGGTACTGGGTGGCTGAAATTTAGTCTGGGAGATAGATAGATACATATGTTCATTCCCCCTCCCTCTCCCTCTCTCTTCCCTCTCCCACCCTCCCCTCTCCCTCCCACTCACCTTGCATCAGTACCTCCAAAGAGTCCAGGAGAGGTAGTGAGTATAGCGCCCTCCAGCCTGGCCTCTTGTGACCTCCAGGTGATGTTGGAGGCCGGGAGACTTGAGCTGGCCTCGCAGGTAAGCGTGGCCACCTTTCCTTCTTCCACGGTGGTCGGGGTGACTCTGCCAGACACATCCCAGGGTGGAACTGTGAGAGGGATGGAGAGGGGTGAGTGGGAGGGAGAGGGTGAGTGGGAGGTGTAGAGAGGGTGGGTGAGTGGGAGGGTGTAGAGAGGGGGGGGGGTGAGTGGGAGGGGGGTGTAGAGAGGTGGGGGTGAGGGGAGGGGGGGGGGAGAGGGAGGGTGAGTGGGAGGGGGTGTGTGGGGAGGGTGTAGAGAGGAGGGGTGAGTGGGAGGGGTGTAGAGAGGGGGGTGAGTGGGGGTGTAGAGGGTGGGGGGGTGGTGGGAGGGGGTGTGAGAGGGAGGGGGTGAGTGGGAGGGGGGGTGTGGGGGTGGGGGTGAGTGGGAGGGGTGTGGGGAGGGAGGGGGTGGAGTGGGGAGGGTGTGTGGAGGGTGTGGGGAGGGGTGAGTGGGAGGGGGGTGTGAGAGGGGGTGAGTGGGGAGGGGGGTGTGGGGAGAGGGGTGGGGGTGAGTGGGAGGGGGTGTAGAGGGAGGGTGAGTGGGAGGGGTGTGTGGGAGGGGGTGTAGAGAGGGAGGGGTGGAGTGGGAGGGGTGTAGAGAGGGAGGGGGTGGTGGGGAGGGGTGTGAGAGAGGGTGGGGTGAGTGGGAGGGGGTGTGAGAGGAGGGTGAGTGGGAGGGGGGTGTGGTGGGGGTGGTGGGGGTGTGGGGGAGGGTGAGTGGGAGGTGTGTGGGAGGGGTGTGAGAGGGAGGGGTGGTGGGAGGGGGTGAGGGGGAGGGTGTGAGTGGGAGGGGGGTGTGGGGGGTGGGGGTGGTGGGGAGGGGGTTGTAGAGGAGGGTGAGTGGGAGGGGGTGTGTGGGAGGTGTGAGGGAGGTGGTGGGAGGGTGTAGAGAGGGAGGGGGTGAGGTGGGAGGTGTGAGAGGGAGGGGTGAGTGGGAGGGGGTGTGGAGAGAGAGGGAGGGGTGAGTGGGAGAGGGTGTAGAGGGGGTGAGTGGGAGGGGTGTGAGAGGGGTGAGTGGGGAGGGGTGAGAGGAGGGGAGTGGGAGGGGGGGGTGTGGGGAGGGGGGGTGTAGAGAGGGAGGGGTGAGTGGGAGGGGGTGTAGAGGGGTGGGGTGAGTGGAGGGTGTAGAGGAGGGTGGTGGGAGGGTGTGGGGAGGGGTGAGTGGGAGGGGGTGTAGAGAGGGAGGGGTGAGTGGGAGGGGGTGTAGAGGGAGGGGGGTGAGTGGGGGGGTGTGGGGAGGAGGGTGGTGGGGAGGGGGTGTGAGAGGGAGGGGTGAGTGGGGAGGGGGTGTGGGGAGGGGTGAGTGGGAGGGGGTGTGAGAGGGGTGGGTGGGGAGGGGGTGGGGGAGGGAGGGGGGTGGGGAGGGGTGTGGGGGGAGGGAGGGGTGAGTGGGAGGGGTGTGGGGAGGGAGGGGTGGTGGGAGGGTGTAGAGGAGGGGTGAGTGGAGGGGGTGAGGGAGGGGGGTGAGTGGGAGGGGTGTGTAGAGGGAGGGGGTGAGTGGGAGGGGGTGTGAGAGGGAGGGTGAGTGGGAGGGGGTGTAGAGGAGGGGTGAGAGTGGGAGGGGGAGGTGTGGGGGGAGGAGGAAGTGAAGATAATGACAGACAGACCAGACAGATATAGACAGACAGACAGACAGACAGATAGACAGACAGATAGACAGACAGATAGATGACAGACAGACAGACAGACAGACCTCTGCCAATCACACACTGGATCAACTACAATCACCTCAAAATTAAATTAACACAATACAAGCACCACACTTCTGCACAGCACCCACTGGCACAACACCCACTCATGCCACGACAGCTGGTGCAGGCTGGGCACTTGGAGACTGGGCTGGGCCACAACTACTACCACCACCACCACACAACAACCACCACCACCACCACCACAACTACTACCACCACCAGCACCAGTACTCACAGAGGACAGACAGGGTGGAGGCGGTGTGGAGGGGAGTGGAGAGTGCTGGGTTATCCACCTGACAGCTGACCTCCACACCATTGTCAGCTGGGGTCAGCTCCACCTCCAACCTCGCCCTCGTCAGCCCAGCCTCCGTCCTCGTCTCCGTCGCCAGCTCCTCCTCGCCCTTGAATACCCTGGGGGGGGGAGATGGAATTAAGTGTGACCTTTGACCCCTGGAGTATGACTTTTGACCCCCTGAAGTATGACCTTTGACCCCTAGTTATGACCTTTGACCCCTGGAGTATGACCTTTGACCCCCTGGAGTATGACCTTTGACCCCCTGAAGTATGACCTTTGACCCCCTGGAGTATGACCTTTGACCCCCTGGAGTATGACCTCTGACCCTGGAGTATGACCTTTGACCCAGTCCCAATAGACCCCAATTCTTAGAGGTCATATTTGGTTCAGGTCTGTAGATACATATGTTCCCTCTCCCTCTCACTTCCTCCCTCTCCCTCTCACTCCCTCCCCTTTCCTCTCACCCCCCCTCCCTCTCCTTTCCCCTCCCTCCCTCTCCTTTCCCTCTCCCTCTCCTTTTTCTCTCTCTCTCCCTCTCCTCCCTCCCTTCCCTCTCCACCCCTCCCCTCTCCTTTCCCTCCCTACCTCTCCCTTTCCCCTCCCTCTCCCTCCCTCCCTCTCCCCTCCTCTCTCCCTCCCTCTCTGACCCTTGACCTGTGACGTACCTGATAGAGGGCGGTGGATGACCTCCCACACTCACACAGGTCAGGTCAAGGCTGGTGCCAGCCATCAGGTCATCGTTAAGGTCTGCCTCGAACACCGGCCGGCCTGCTGGTCCTGTCAGGCCAAGAGAGGTCACGTTAAATCATGAGGTCAGGGGATAGTTTGACCTGACCTAACCTAACCTAACCTGATCTCGTTAAATAAAGTTAAAACAATTGACTTACTTATAACAATTGACTTAAAACAATCAACTAACTTAAAACAATTGACTTACTTATAACAATTGACTTAAAACAATCAACTAACTTAAAACAATTGACTTACTTATAACAATTGACTTAAAACAATCAACTAACTTAAAACAATTGACTTACTTATAATAGTAACTACAGTAGTCTTCTTAATGACCTCCTGTATAGCGGGATTAAGGGCACGGCACTCTAAGGTGACCTCACTCTGGTTGTTGGAGGTCACAGTGCGGTGGATGAGGTGGGAGGAGGTCACCCAACCTCCCGACCCATCCTTCCCGACCACCGACTTGCTGTGTTCCTGTACCTCACCTGTAAGTCGGGGAGTCGGTGGTTAAGTTAAGGAAAGAGCTTGGGAATATTTTCAGGGGAAAATTTGGGATATAATGTTAATTTGGGGGGAAATTTGGGATATAATGTTAATTTGGGGGGAAATTTGGGATATAATGTTAATTTGGGGGGAAATTTGGGATATAATGTTAATTTGGGGGGAAATTTGGGATATTATCTATTATTTGGGGTAAAATCAGGAAACTACGATAATATATAAAAACACACGAAATTTTCTTATGCAAAAAATCACCAAATCAATAAAAACACTGAGTGATTGTGTGATTGTACAGGTGTGATATTTTGGATGGTCAACAGGTGTAATTAACTCCACAGGTGTTCATACAGGTGTTAATATCTCACCTTGGATGGTTAACAGGAGTCATACAAGTGTTAATATCTCACCTTGGATGGTCCAGGTGAGGGAGGCTGGAGGGTTGGAGTCACTCGTCTCACAGGTAAGGTTGACGGCTCCTCCCACCTCCACCTGAGTCAGTCCTTTGATGGTTAAACTGGATGGTGCGTCTGTCAGTATGTCAACAATAGTCAGCTGATCGTATGTAAACATTAGTCAGCTGATCGTATGTCAACAATAGTCAGCTGATCGTATGTCAACAATAGTCAGCTGATCGTATGTAAACATTAGTCAGCTGATCGTATGTCAACAATAGTCAGCTGATCGTATGTCAACAATAGTCAGCTGATCGTATGTAAACATCACCATCGTTATTATTATTAGTAGTAGTAGTTATTATCATCATTAAGGTCATGACAGTAAACTTACAGTAGACAGTGAGGGTAACATTAGACGTGAGGGGAAACTCCAGTAAATCGCTGGTAACCCGGCACTCATACACGGCCCCGTCCTCCCCTGGCGTCACCGCTAACTCATGGTCGTTCACCACCCCTTGTACCTCCTCCAGGTCGTCCACGCCACCGCCAGCACGTAGGGTGGTCGTGGTGTCGTCTAGTAGTCGTCCCTGGCGGTACCACAACACCCAGGGTCGTGGATTACCCCCGGACGACTTGCATGAGAGAGTTCTTCTTTCTCCAGCTAATAGGACTTCTGAGGGGTCGTATCCTGTGATGATGGGAGGTCCTGGTGTGTCTGTAGGAGGCGCAGGAGGAGGGGTTAGTGTAGGATGGTCACACACACACACACACACACACACAACACACACACCTCCACCTCCCACAACACAATACCTACGCAACACAGAGAGGGTGACGGAGGCGACGAGGGAGGTAGGGCCGTTCTCCAGCGTGGGATGAACGGCCTGACAGGAGAACAGTCTACCGTCGTCAGCAGCCAGAGCGGTGACTCTCAACTGGCTCGTTACAGTCCATCTTCTAGGTGAGGTTGAAGGCTCGATTCTGTCTACCTGGATAGCTGCCGGCAGAGTAGACAGGTGTGGTTAGATTAGGTTTAGAGGTTGGTTAGATAAGTGGATGGTACCTTCCCCAGAAAATATAAAATAGACACAAAATATAGAACTAAAAATGCTCACACACAAACACACACACACACACACACACATACACATACACACACACATACACATACACACACACACACACACAACAAAACCTACCCTATCAACAAACAAACAAACAAACAAACATGGTAATTATAATGACTTTACTCCCTAATTAAAACACCTGTATATAATTAACCATATTTACATACTAGCAACTCACCTGTCCACAGTTGCCAACGAGCGATATTTAACCACCGTACTAAACACTGGACCATAACCCGGGTAAATTAACAGATGGAAAGATGATTAGTAAACCCGGCTTACATACTCGAGGGACTAAACTACACACCGAGTCTTGTCTCAGTTTGTGAAGTAGTTTTAAAGTTATCACATGGACAGACAGACAGACAGAACAGACAGACAGACAGACAGACAGACAGGCAGACAGACAGGCAGACAGATGAACAGATAGACAGACAGATAGACAGACAGATAGACAGATGGACGGACAGATAGACAGAGAGAGACAGACAGACAGACAGACAGATGACAAACAGGCAGATAGACAGACAGACAGATAGATAGATGACAGATAGATAGACAGACAGACACAGCAGACAGATAGATAGATGAGACAGATAGACAGATACATAGACAGATAGACAGACAGACAGACAGACAGACAGGTGGATTTCTATGCTATATACCCCCTGTGTTTTAATAGGACCCGCCTAAGTTAGAGTCTGTCTTTACTCACCTGGATCCACCTGTACTCACCTTAAATCCACCTGTAATCACCTAAAATCCACCTGTAATCACCTAAAAATCCACCTGTACTCAACTATATCCACCTGTAATCACGTTAATCCACCTGTACTCACCTAAAATCCACCTGTAATCACCTTAAATCCACCTGTAATCACCTAAAACTACCATACTTAAACCACCTGTACTCACCAAATCCACCTTAACACTCTTAAATCCACCTGTAATCACCTAAAATCCACCTGTACTCACCTGGATCCACCTGTAGGCTGCCCCTGCCTGCCAGCTTGTGGAGGAGGGCGGCCATCAGTCACCACACACTCCAGGGTCAATGTCGTGCCTTCTACCACTTCCACCACCGCCCGTCACCCCATCCCATAATACCCACTGCTGACGGCGCCACTGAAGGAGAAAAGGAAGGAGAGTTTAGGTTCGGTGTCGTTAGTTAGGTCTGGTTCGTTGTTAGGGTTGGTGGTTCGTTAGTTGGGGTTCGGTGGTTCGTTAGTTGGGGTCCGGTGTTCGTTATTAGGGTCGGTGTTTCGTTAGTTGGGGTTCGGTGGTTCATATTTAAGGTTCATGATTAAATTAAAGTTCGGTTGTTTTAAGTGATGATTATTATGACGTTGATGCAGATATTTGTGATAAATGTTTATATTAATCAATAAACTCATACGACATAGGTATATAAATGAGTGTATATTGTACATAAAACACACACACACACACACACACACATACACAAACACCTTATTCTCTCCTCTCCTTCCTCTCCTTACCCTCTCTCTCTCTCTCTTCCTTCCTTTTCCCCTCTCTTATTTCCCCTCTCCTTTCCACCCTAGACCAAAACACACTACTCACACGACGGTAACATTAGCAGCCGCCCAGATAGGAGGTGTAGTATCAGTAGGGAACCATTAACTGGTATTCTCCGTCTTCCGTAAGGGTGACGCCACTAATTACCAGGTGATGTTCCCCAAGGTCTGGATCACCTGCGTAACTGTAGCGAGGATATCCCGGTACTGTCCGCTCGAAGCCTGGGGGTGTTAGAGGGATGTGAGGTAGGGGGGTTGAGAGGAGGGAGAGAGAGGGGAGGGGAGGGGAGGGGGGGGGGGGGGGGGGAGGGGAGGGGGAGGAGAGAGAGAGAGGGAGGAGAGAGAGGAGGGAGAGAAGAGGGGGGGAGGGAGAGAGAGAGCCACACACACACACAGAGTTTTTCATTAAAGGACAAAAATAGAATCCTTAAAGTTGAAGTACAGCGAAAAAAGTAAATAATAAAGGCTTTTTTTTCTCTCTCTCTCGTTTAATAAAAAAAATATTCATGAAACTGTAACCCAACCCACGGCCTTTTTTTTTATATCTTGTCCATAAACTTTTTTTTTTACTTTTTTTTACGATTATTTTAATATTAAAGTCACTTAATTGACACCCGGTCCTGTGGGAAGATGGAGGGGTCATGACGTCACGGATGTAAACAAACCGCTACGGCATTTTTCACAGGGTTTCGGATCCTTCCTTAACGGTTTGAATTTCCACTGAATTTTGTGTTTTTATTATTTTAAGGTAACATTCTTATAGGTTCAGTCACTGCTTCACTTAATGCTTCACTTAATGCTTCACTCACAGCTTCACCACAGCTTCACTTAATGCTTCACTCACTGCTTCACTCACAGTCACTTAATGCTTCACCACTGCTTTATTTAATGCTTTACTAATGCTTCACTTAATGCTTCACTCACTGCTTTACTTAATGCTTCACTTAATGCTTCACTCACTGCTTCACCTACAGCTTCACTAATTTTCACTATCATTTACTTTAATGCTTCACTCTAATGCTTCACTCACTGCTTCACCACAGCTTCATTTAAGAGAATATTTGACCTTAAACCTTTGTGAATGAGGACTCAGGTGCTGTCTCATTTACCAGAATATTTGGCCAAAATTACGACCCGAAAAGTTTAATTATTGAGAGAGAGAGAGAGAGAGAGAGAGAGAGAGAGAGAGAGTGTGGCTGACGTCTCCATTCCTTTCCTCCCTACTAGACACACAAAGCGGGGGGGAGGGGGGGAGAGGGGGGAGGGAGAGGAGGAGGAGAAGACGACGCCAGATATCTTCCCTCACTAGAAGAGAAGTAGAGATCCCTGAGACTAGTTATTGTTGTATGCGTAAGGGGAGGGGTGAGAGGGGGGACGTGAGGGGACGGTGAGGGGTAATGAGGGAATGAGATGATATATGAGGGTGATGCTTGTATACCCCCTCACGCTCACCCCCAAAAACAGTAAAACACAGAAAACACAAAAATCACAAAAACCCAAGAAATTCAGAAACATTAATAAACATCAGAAAACACGAAAAAAAACACTAAAGAAACACAAATAAACAGTAAAAACACAAAAACACCCGAAACATTAATAACCACCATAAAACATGACAAACACCCAGACAACAAAACAGAAGGGGATACGAACCTAGAGCGAAGCCGTCTTGTCCATTGAGCTTTACCCTGTTGGTGATCCACTACACAGGAGAGGAAGACGTCAGCCCCTCCACCACCTCCACACTCTGCGGCACCACACTGAACTCCTGATGGTGGTGTGGTGCTGCTGACACTGTGGTAGAGAGAGAGAGAGAGAGAGTGAGAGAGGAAGACGTCAGCGCCTCCACCACCCACCTCCTGAACCTGATGGTGGTGTGTGCTGACTGTGGAGAGAGAGAGAGGAGAGGGAAGACGTCAGCCCCTCCACCACCTCCACACTCTGCGCACCACACTGAACCCTGATGGTGGTGTGGTGCTGACACTGTGGTAGGGAGAGAGAGAGAGAGAGAGAGGAAGACGTCAGCCTCCACCACCTCCACACTCTGCGGCACCACACTGAACTCCTGATGGTGGTGTGGTGCTGCTGACACGGTAGAGAGAGAGAGAGAGAGTGGAGAGAGGTCGCACTCACATGCACTGCCCTGTGGTGGTGTGCTGACACTGTGGTAGAGAGAGAGAGAGAGTGAGAGAGGAAGACGTCAGCCCTCCACCACCTCCACACTGCGGCACCACACTGAACTCCTGATGGTGGTGTGGTGCTGCTGACACTGTGGTAGAGAGAGAGAGAGAGTGAGAGAGGAGAGAGGAAGACGTCAGCCCCTCCACCACCTCCACACTCTGCGGCACCACACTGAACCCTGATGGTGGTGTGGTGCTGCTGACACTGTGTGAGAGAGAGAGAGAGAGTGAGAGAGGAAGACGTCAGCCCTCCACCACCTCCACACTCTGCGGCACCACACTGAACTCCTGATGGTGGTGGTGCTGCTGACACTGTGGTAGGGAGAGAGAGAGAGTGAGAGAGGAAGACGTCAGCCCTCCACCACCTCCACACCTGCGGCACCACACTGAACTCCTGATGGTGGTGTGGTGCTGCTGACACTGTGGTAGAGAGGTGAGAGAGGAAGACGTCAGCCCCTCCACCACCTCCACACTCTGCGGCACCACACTGAACTCCTGATGGTGGTGTGGTGCTGCTGACACTGTGGTAGGGAGAGAGAGAGAGGAGAGAGGAGACGTCAGCCTCCACCACCTCCACCTGCGGCACACTGAACTCCTGATGGTGGTGTGGTCTGCCTGGTGAGAGAGAGAGAGAGAGAGAGAGAGAGAGAGAGAGAGAGACGTACATAAATCTCTCAGCTAATAAGATTATTCCAATTATCAACACACACACACACACACAGACACACACACACACACACACACACACACACACACACACACACACACACACAACACACACACACACACACACACACACACACACACACACACACAGGTATCAGAGAAAATTAGTCTTACAGGTATTATGGTAATAGGCTTATGTTTGTCAGGTCAAGTCTCTCTCTCTCTCTCTCTCTCCTCTCAAATGTCTTTTCTACCCCTTTAATATTTTTCATTCTCTTTCTTTCACTATCCTTCTATCTATCTGTCTGTCTCCTCTCTCTCTCTCTCTCTCTCTCTCTCTCTCTCCTCAGCCAATCCTTCAAGTCTCAACGTCCTCGACACTTTCAAAATTTAAATTCCAATCAAGACGGTGAAGCCGACGTTGATTGGTGACTTAAGAGCCAATGAGATGTCGTCTTTTTACGATTCCCGTAACGGTCGTAACGGTCATAACGGTCGTAACGGTCACCTCGGAAGCCGATAATTGCCTCAGAGGAGAATTGTTTTCCATGTTATTCTTATTTACTTGTTGTTTCTTTGTTTGTAGGTTTATTGTTTTCGTCTTAATTTGAGGAAAACTATTGTATTTAGGCTTCACACACACACACACACACACACACACATACACACACACACACACACACACAAACCTTCTTTATAAAAATATTCCACACTGTTGCCAGTTTTACATTCGAACCTTTTTGGTTTCACTTAAAAGCCTTTCTGGAGTTCTTGGGAGAGAGAGAGAGAGAGAGAGAGAAAGCCGTGTTTGTTAGTAGTTAAGCTGCCAGTACACACACACAGCCTCATACAACTTTCTCCACAAAAGACCTGAAAAGCTTCTGTGTTTAGCCAGTGTTGACGCTGTTATCCATGAGTGTCACGTCGTGGGTTAGCCTGGCGAACGTCTGCCTGTGTATACCCTCATCTACACCACTACCTTAAGGTTCATCCCTCCATAGTGATATAGAGCTTTATTAGACTCTATAAACCTAGGTGGGATAGCACTGTTTTGACCTGTATATTTGTGAGGGTCGAGTAGAGTGGCCTATTCAAGGTTTGTTTACATTATCTTAATGTTGATTTTCCTCTGGTTTTCAAGGCGGATTTTGACCCTTAAGGATGAAAGTATAACACTGTCTTCCCCAACTACATAAACACATCTTTACGTGTGATTTAACCTTAACGATTAAAGTATACGTCTTCCCCAACTACATAAATACATCCTTTAACGTGTGATTTTGACCTCTAGGATGAAAGTATAACACTGTCATACCCCAAGTACAAACATCTTTATGTGTTATTTTGACCCTTAAGAGACATTGGTATGGCATTTTTATGACCCTATGAATGGGTTTAGGGAAATCCAAGAGGAAATTTCAGGGTAGGTTTATTTAAGAGCTATTATAGTATTGAATCTGTGCGGATTTAACCTTTATGGAGTTTGTTTCATAGCACTGTCTTCTCTTTTTTCCTGGCTCTCTTTTTTATCTCCTCTTGTTTCTTTTCCAACGTTTGCCTTCTCTTTTTTCTTTAATTAACTCACTAGCGTCTCTCTCTCTCTCTCTCTCTCTCTCTCTCTCCCCACTCACCCCACTTCATTTGTCTGT